AGTGCTCTGCAGTGTGAAATGGCATTAGTTCCACGAGCATCCATGAGAGATGTAAGCAGGCCGTCTTGGGCCTGGTAGGTCTGCAGACTAATGTGTGCTCACAAAGCACGCTTCGGTTTCGCACGCCTTGAACCCTGAACCCTAAACCCTCAGCCCAAACCCCCCGGAGGTCTAGGCCCTCGAAACATGTCAGCGTATGTCAACGCACGACACCAACAACCATATGTCAGGACAAGCGCAACAAAATCCGTGAGGCCGGCTTTGGTCCGCTGCCATGTTCAAATTTTGGAACCAAGATCTTCAGAATACCTATAACATTCATATTCGCAAATGACATCATAGTATTGATATTATTATTAATAACAGTTGGTGCTCCGTTCTGGAGGTTGCCAACGACATGGCTGTCGTGTCTTTCAGAGCTCCCCCAAAGGCCTCCCTCAAAAGTCCAGACTAAAGCGAGACCTAGATTGTCTTTTTACGAGGGGCACGAGAAGCTCCCTAAATCCTGGGAAGCTGAGGGAGAGGAGGGAGAGGAGGGAGAGGAGGGAGAGGAGGGAGAGGAGGGAGAGGAGGGAGAGGAGGGAGAGGAGGGAGAGGAGGGAGAGGAGGGAGAGGAGGGAGAGGAGGGAGAGGAGGGAGAGGAGGGAGAGGAGGGAGAGGAGGGAGAGGAGGGAGAGGCGGGAGAGGAGGGAGAGGAGGGAGAGGAGGGAGAGGAGGGAGAGGAGGGAGAGGAGGGAGAGGAGGGAGAGGAGGGAGAGGAGGGAGAGGAGGGAGAGGAGGGAGAGGAGGGAGAGGAGGGAGAGGAGGGAGAGGAGGGAGAGGAGGGAGAGAAGGGAGAGGAGGGAGAGGAGGGAGAGGAGGGAGAGGAGGGAGAGGAGGGAGAGGAGGGAGAGGAGGGAGAGGAGGGAGAGGAGGGAGAGGAGGGAGAGGAGGGAGAGGAGGGAGAGGAGGGAGAGGAGGGAGAGGAGGGAGAGGAGGGAGAGGAGGGGCGGAGGGAGGAGGGAGGAGGGAGGAGGGAGGAGGGAGGAGGGAGGAGGGAGGAGGGGGCGGGAGGAGGAGGAGGAGGAGGGAGGAGGGAGGAGGGAGGAGGGAGGAGGGGGAGGAGGAGGAGGAGGGGGAGGGCGAGGGAGGAGGGAGGAGGGAGGAGGGAGGAGGGAGGAGAGGAGGAGGGAGGAGGGGGAGGGAGGAGGGGGGAGGAGGAGGAGGGAGGAGGGAGGAGGGAGGAGGGAGGAGGGAGGAGAGGAGGAGGGAGGAGGGGAGGAGGAGGGAGGAGGGCGAGAGGGCGGAGGAGGAGGAGGGTTTTTGAGGTTCCCTTCGAAGGGTGGAGTCCGCAGGGCAAGGGTAGGTGCCTCCAGTGGGGTGAGAAGTTGTGTGGAGTGAGTGAGAAGAGTGGAGGGGCCGTTAGTCCGAGCAAGAGGAAACAGCAACAGCAAGAGGTATGGGAAGTGACATTTTGTTCGGCATGCAGGTGTGGTTTGGGGGCGACGTCTCCAGCCTTAGATATATGCAAACGTAGTGATGTCCCGTTGCACTCTCGGAGCCCCAGACCCGAGTGTCAGGACCGGCGTCGCAAGTGGCGCGCATGTAGCAGATGCAACATCCTCATGGAGTGGTAGCTCCTTGTGAAGGTGACAAGCGTTTGTGCGCCAGGCACGACGGCGATCCAATCCGTCAAAGTGCTCAAGGAGCGCCCTGGAGTTTGCCAAATGGTTCTGTTATGTGACCATGACAATCGCAAGACATTCGAAGGCCTCTGCCACCGTTTTTAGTCGACGTTCCGAGCTGGCATTGATGCGAGAGACTCGGCAGAGGATTTTGTTTTAAATGTGCTATTAATCCAAGGCAAGCGGATGAAGGCAAGTCAGAAGTTCACACTTGGGGCCATTCACCGAGACCTAAACCCCAAAAAACTCTAAACCCCGAAACCTAAACCTACAAGCTCTGAATCCTCTTGCTGGAGTTTCGGGGTCGAGGAGGGAGGAGGAGGGAGGAGGGAGGGGAGAGGAGAGGAGCGAGGGGAGGGAGGAGGGATGCGAGACGGAGGAGGAGGAGGAGGAGCGAGGAGCGAGGAGCGAGGAGCGAGGAGCGAGGAGCGAGGAGCGAGGAGCGAGGCGCGAGGCCGCGAGGCGCGAGGAGCGAGGAGCGAGGAGAGAGCGAGGAGCGAGAGCGAGGAGCGAGGAGCGAGGAGCGAGGAGCGAGGAGCGAGGAGCGAGGAGCGAGAGAAGGAGAGGAGGAGGAGGAGAGAGAGGAGGAGAGGAGGAGAGAGGAGGGAGAGAGGAGAGAGGAGAGAGGAGAGAGGAGAGAGGAGAGAGAGAGGAGAGAGGAGGAGAGGAGAGAGGAGAGGAGGAGAGAGGAGAGAGGAGAGAGGAGGGAGAGGAGAGAGGAGAGAGGAGAGAGGAGAGGAGGAGAGGAGGAGGGAGAGAGCGAGGAGAGGAGGAGAGAGAGGAGGAGAGAGGAGAGAGGAGAGAGGAGAGAGGAGAGAGGAGAGAGGAGAGAGGAGGCGAGGAGCAGAGGAGAGGGAGAGGGGAGAGGGGGGAGGGGGGAGAGGGGAGAGGGGAGCGGAGGGAAGAGGGAAGAGGGAAGAGGGAAGAGGGAAGAGGGAAGAGGGAAGAGGGAAGAGGGAAGGGGAAGAGAGAAGAGAGAAGAGAGGAGAGAGGAGAGAGGAGAGAGGAGAGAGGAGAGAGGAGAGAGGAGAGAGGAGAGAGGAGAGGGGAGAGGGGAGAGGGGAGAGGGGAGAGGAGAGAGGAGAGAGGAGAGAGGACAGAGGAGAGAGGGTAGAGGGTCGAGGCGCAGAGTAGCTCAATCCGACGATGGAGGTAAGCATCGCTCTGTACCTGAGACATCGAGTCCAACGGACGGCCTTGCATGTCCATGATAAGAGGATACGATCCATCTTCTGAAGGAGTAAGACTAAGACTGAGGAGGCCACTGGACTCGGCCTCCACACGCAATCCCTCTCCGCTATCTCCAACGCGCTCCTGTGCTGTTGTCGCGAATCCAGGTGGTGCGGTAGGCCTGTACGGAAACCGTCGCACTAAACAACCACTTCCCCTTACACCCGGACCTAAAACTGGCTGGAGCCCAGGTGCTTGATCGCCGAGGCTCCACACAGTCGGCGCATCGTCAACCTTCAGCCCGAAATGAAATCCCCTGCGTTAGTCCTGTAGGGCTTCAAAGCCCTGCCTTAACGCCCTTACCTAGGTGGTGTGGCTGGGACGTTGAAGGTTCCCTAGACGCTCGCAACCCGTGCTGTTCTGTTGTACTATAGGCGGTCTGCTGTTGAGTGGCTTGACAAGCTCCTTGCAGGCGGCGACTTGGATGACGCCTGGTTTCCAAACGCCTGTCGTCGGGCGTGCCAAAAAAGCTGAGCCACATGCTGTGCGGACAGGCTCCTGAGAGCCTGAGGCCCGAGCTAACCCCGAACCCAGCTCAGCCCAAACCGTGAAGGTCGGATTGGCCTCTTGGCCCGACAGAAGAAGTCCCTAAGAAAGAGGCCCTGAAGTGGCTATGATATGTTTATGCCAGTTTCTGTGTGTTGAATTTGGAACAAGGTACCAGATTTCCCCAGGTGTCTGGTTTTGGGAAATCTTGGCACGGTCCAAGTCGCTGGAAAGTTTGTTTCCCCAACCCTGCGACTTAGCAATTGTGGCTTAGCCTAGCGTACAGTCGCCCAGCACGTGTTTCGCATGCCCCCTCCGGAAGCTGGGTTTAGTGGACAGCTGGCTGAGGTAGTGGGGCTGGTGGTGGAGGGGCTCCGGGTGCATCTGGGATTTGCGGAGAGATGCGTGGAAATATCGTGTGCTGTTGTTTTGACTCAGGTGTAGTTTCGCCTTTCGGATGATTTGACTCGACTATCGCAAGCCGCGTAGGTTCGCGTGAAGCAGCGCCCGCTAGACGCTTGCTGCCTTACTTTGGTCAGTCTTTGCTTGACGTGGTAACTTTTCGCACACTGTGATCATGCGTGCCGCTTCTGAAGGAAGACTCCAGCTTGCTTAGGGCACCCTGAAAGATACTATGAGGGATAACCCGTCCTGCACCTTGACTGTCCTCAGACCTACCAGTAGGGCCTAGGCCTGGGCCTAGTTGTTTCTCTCCGCATCTTGCTCAAGTATTGTGGAAAACGCGCGCCCAATAGCAAACCTTAAACAAGGCTGCCCACGAAACCCAAAAGCCCCCAAAAGCATCCCTTCAACTCTAGATCCAAAATGCCACACCCAAGTTCTAGCTATCATCGTTGCTATGACTTGTAAGCCTTGCAGTGTCGGCTTTGCAGCTCGCGCTGAAAACTTATTCCGGTTGATTCGGCTTCAGTGCGTGCAGAACAGCGCCCAGTCGCACACTTTTCAAGCCTGGACAGATTCATGTGTTCCAGCTCCCAAACGCATCGTAGCTTCGTGGGCCGACCGTCCAAATTACGTCGATGTCTCGGCGTAACGCGTGTTTGATGGTGACTCCTGGAGTTGAATCCGCGGCTGGCGCTGGGCACTTAAATCCAAGGGTCACACACACAAGCCACAAGCAGTTTCCTAGACTGTGCACGTGCAGCTGCCCTGGGAATGTCTTGACTGCGGCCAGATGCTTAAAGGCAGGTTGCAAGGCATACGGGGGTTGACGACAATTAGGGGGCCGGAAATATAGACCCCAAATAGTAGGATCCCCTTGTAAGCAGGACCCCGATAAGATCGTAAACGCCCATACAGCCATGGCACCGCTCAATGCACGCTTGCGCGGGGACACTGTCGCTGTTTTTTTGGTGTCATCGGCTCGGCTCTAGGAACGTGACTTTAGGTACCCAGCAAGGCAATTTACCCCGCTTAATGGTTGCAAGTCTCGGTCACATGTGTGTGGCTCAAGCATTTCAGCGCCAACGGCGTGTAACTTGGAACGGTTCGAGTCCACAGCATATTGGAAGCAACTCATAGGGACCTGACATGTCGGACTTCAGTCGAGCAGCATGGGAATTCTCAAGTTGATGTTCGCTGGCTTCTTGCCCTTCAAGTATGGAGATTGTGCTGCTGTCCTGGGCAGGTGCGAACAGGGGAGATCACAGTTGTGACAGTTGTGACATGTTGTGACCGTGCAATTACTGACGATGCTCGCAACAGTGGTAGCTGTCATAGTACTCCGCGTTGATTCCCGTGTAAGTTCTGGCGAATTGAATATCGAAATGATATTGGTCTCTGACATCACAACGTTTCCCAAGAGGCGGATGCGAGTTGCGAGAGCTTGCGCCTGGGCTTTCTTCAGGTCAAATAGTTTGTTCAAGTCGTGATCACGATGATGATGATGATGATGATGATAGCGAAGCTGCGGAGAAGGAAGGATAGTTCGTTGCAACGATGGAAGAGGTATGAAAATGGTAAGATCGACAGTCGTTGGTGAATGTAGCTTTCATGGTGGCAAGCAGGACTTTAGGATGCGAAGCAGCTGCTCAGTCTTGAAGATTCCTGCCGTTTAGGCGTTTTCTCCCCTGAAGTGAGCATGAGGACTTTTCCCGTGAGGGTTCCGCGGGGCATGCAGGCTTCATGATTGTCATGTATGTTGTCATTCTCATTCCCTGTGATTTTCGCATGACAGACTATGAAGCTGGACCAATCGTAAGACATCCCACATGCCACGCAGATGCAACGCCCAGCCACGAAGGAACACCGGGCTCTCCAGCTTGAAACGCCAACTGCTGCAAGGGTTAAAGTTTCGGGGTTTCGAGCTTAGGAATGTTGCGTGGTTGGTCCAGAAAGAATGGATACTGCCCTACCAAGCAGCTACGTGGGCCGCAAAACGTTGTACGTAAATGACATATGCATTGACAGCTGCGACTCAACGCAATGCTTCCGACGCGTCATCGCACGCAGTCATTGCCCTCGTGGACTCTAACTTCAAGTCTTTAGCAGTGTCCCTCAAGAATCAAGCTACACGAACAAAGCTGCGGTTTTCGCAGGGGCATGTTGTTTTGAACTCAGGCCGCCATTCAATGACAGTTTCGGTGGCTCTTCGCCATTGTTGCAGCTTGGCAAATTCCGACAGTTCCTTCCAAGCTTGAGTAGCACAGGCGGCTGCTTTGGGTGACCTGCTGCGGGCCGCGGGGAGAAGTCCTTGTGCTTGTGGTCCCACTAGTTCGAGCACCCTTACTTCGCCGCACGCTTGAGTCTTTACAGCTTTGAGGAGAAGGGGCGCAGTTCGGATCGGTGGCATGCCTTTTTCATATATATATATATATATATATCCCCTGCTACGTCATCCTTCTGTCTCTGTCTCTGTCTCTCTGTCTCTCTGTCTCTCTGTCTCTCTGTCTCTCTGTCTCTCTGTCTCTCTGTCTCTCTGTCTCTCTGTCTCTCTGTCTCTCTGTCTCTCTGTCTCTCTGTCTCTCTGTCTCTCTGTCTCTCTGTCTCTCTGTCTCTCTGTCTCTCTGTCTCTCTGTGTCTGTGTCTGTGTCTGTGTCTCTGTGTCTCTGTGTCTCTGTGTCTCTGTGTCTCTGTGTCTCTGTGTCTCTGTGTCTCTGTGTCTCTGTGTCTCTGTGTCTCTGTGTCTCTGTGTCTCTGTGTCTCTGGGTCTCTGTGTCTCTGTGTCTCTGTGTCTCTGTGTCTCTGTGTCTCTGTGTCTCTGTGTCTCTGTGTCTCTGTGTCTCTGTGTCTCTGTGTCTCTGTGTCTCTGTGTCTCTGTGTCTCTGTGTCTCTGTGTCTCTGTCTCTGTCTCTCTTTCTCTCTCCCTCCTCTTCTCTCTCTACATTGTAGAGTCGACAAGTAGAATTTTGGTTCTGGAAGTCCTCGCATTTGTAGAGTGCTTGACTACCTTCAAAACTCAGGCTGACTCTGCTCGAGTTCCTTCCCGCTGCTTGGAAAGGAAGTGGTAGGGAGCGGATCTCACGCATTTTGGCCCATAAGCCGGTGGCGCGTTTGTTGCTGAGTCTCTTTGCAGTCCGCATGCTTAGTACGGGGGTCTAAGTTCCCTGGGTGTGGTCTCTCGTTGTTTTGGCTGTGGAAGCTGAGTTTGGATATTCGGAGCTTCACTCCACGATTCTTGGCGAGCTGGATGCAACAGTGAGCTGAGTAGATGCAACATGGATAATCATACCTCGAGTAAAGAGTCCCAGCGCCAGAAACATCTTACGTCATTCACTCTCTCTCTCTCTCTCTTGCTCAGGATGTCTGTGGGAGTGTTCGGACTGCTCTCTTTGGTAAGCGGGCCTCGAAAGCTGATCCGCACCTCTGTCTAGGAGTTCAGGGTCTTTGCTCCCAAAACCTCGTGGAGGTGTTCTTTAAGCATGCCCTTTACACTTCTTTACAGACATGTGGGGTTATGAGGATCCCAAGTTCATGCCTGCATAGGCACTGCGTGGGTCTCTGGCCATTATGGATCTGAGCGGCTTTGGGTTTGCAGGAGGTGGGTGTTAGTTCGCGTTTTTTCGTCAAGTGCAGGGGCAGGAATTCTGGCATCGCAAACTAATGTCATCATTCAAGAAGGTCTAAAGCCGAAAGCCTTGCTTGGACTCGCATCTTGCTCTTAGGCACTGAAGCTACACGTTGTTGACTGGGGGCCTTAGCAGGCCCGTCTTGTCAGAAGTGGCCTAGTCTTGGAAAGCACCCTTAGCCAAGAGCAGCTGGCTCCAGGCCATGATCATCTGTAAGGTCTTCTGTTGCAAGCCTGCTTTCCGATTCCCTATCTGTAGATTGGCCCTGCCGACAGGCCAGATTGCGCGGCGCCCTTTGTGGCCATCGCGGCAGAAGCAGTGCACAATTGTCTGTGCAACAAGCCAGACGAAGATCCACAACAACTTGGAGAGAAATTCTTGCGGAAGCATTTTGCTGGCGATGTAACACTCGACCAGATGTTCCGCTGCCCCTTGGCTTCCATGGTCATGCCTTGCTACTGGTTGTGGCTAAGTTGCTCCTTAGGCTCAGCATCTGTTATGAGCATGAAGCGAATCTCAGGCCAAGCATGGTGTTTGTTACAGGTTGCCATGGACCATGGTTCTTTTGTCTGAGCCAAACGTGAACGAAATGGTAGCCCCTTACCCAAGATTTGATCAGGCACTGTCACAGCTCGAGCCTGACGTTCGTTTGGGGACAGTTCTGAGCAACCAGGCCATGGACGTATCCAACAGTGCAAGGTTTACAGTACATCCAGCAAAAACTCGCGTCAGTCGCTTGTTTCAGGTTGTTGCAGGTTTTGGTATGGCACTCATGTCTTTGAGTCAACGTTCGTTTCCGTTGGGAACGTGGTATGAAATCTTGCCATGGGCAGTGGTAGAATTTTTCGAGTCGTCGTTAGTCTGTCCTCCTAAACTTTAATCGATGCGCTGGATGAGTTGCAGGCCGTTTTCGGCTCATTTTCCTCCTCGTGGTCAAGCACCAGAACGAGTCATCACCTGTCTCTTTCTGGTTGCACTGCGGCCAAGACCTGGTGGGCAAAAAGATTTTCCACTGCTGCTAAGTTCATTCCTCTAAGACTTTCGTGAAGAATCTCTGCCGCAGGCTCTCGTGGGAGATGAGGTCTTTCTTGTTCCTTGCTTCTGGAACGATAGTGAGGTTTCGGGCGTACGCGAAGTCCCCATGAAACAAGGAGAGTGCACTATGACTATGACATATGTTCGATGAGTAAGGGCCATCGATTGAGCTTTGCAGTCAGCGAGGGTATGGGCATGTGTGGGCCAACGTCATGGGTCTTAGGGTCCTCAACCTGACTCCAGGGCGAGCTTGTTCGGTGCACGTTCCTTGGGCAGGTTTTGCACATATGTCCGAGAGGCCGACCAAACGCTAACACAGTACGCTCCCACGAGAGTTATGCTGGTAGCAGAGGCTTGGGCCACGCAAAAACACGAACCTCTTTATTGTCGGGTTCGCCTCTCCGTGGCTTGTACTGCGGCGCTCATAAATGGCACGTCCGGAAGCAGCTTTTTGCCCTTGAAGGTTGGTGCACGGGAATCCACAATCCAAAGCAGGAAGCGCAAAGAATCTCGAAGCAAGAAGCAGCAATTCAACTTGCAGTTGCCTGCCTTCCCTTTCATCTCCTCTTGCCTCTCTTCTTGTCTCATCTCCTTTCCTTGCCATGGATGCCACAGCCTTGCGGCTTCTGCGCCAACTCCTGGCACCTGATGCCACCGCCCAGCATTCAGAGGAGCATGACAAGGCTGGGTGGAGCATTTGAGGTCCGGGATACAATTTGCAGGTTGTACATGAGTGTGCAACATGTTCTCGCACGTGGGCTGTTGCTGCCATCCTCGACAGGCGACAGCCCAACTTTAGAAAATCTCTTTCTGTTTCCGAGCACCAAAGTCACTCAAGTACACGACCTGGATGCTGTGTAGCAATCTCAATCTGTGTGATCAGAATGCAACCTGTTGAGGTGCCCCACGACGTGATGGCTGCTTCCCGGCTTTGGTTGGTGATGGGCATTTTTGACAAAAAAGCACAAGCCCTGATCCTTCGGAACAGTGAAGCCCGACCCCGAAAGCACCCGACTCGCAGAAGAAGCGCAACAATGCTTTGGAAGCATGAGCTTTGCCGATGTGTACCGTAGTACTGCACGATATACTTCTGCAGCATCGCACGTTTGTGCGCCAGGCGGGCTCGCTGACCTCTACCGCGAGTTTCGAAGGGTTGCAGCAGCACCTGACCTCGTCCAGGTCTGAGAAAAGGTTCCATCATCATGCGGCTGTGGTGGAATCTTCATTGTTCTTTGCAGCGCGAGCAAGCACATGTGTGACTGGCCCAGGCTGGACAGTTTGCTGCACAACGTCTACGAGCGACAAGACCAGTCATCTGTTGCCATTGCTGCACGCATGGCGAGCCTGGAGCGACAGATAGGCAAGCTGCATGGTCGGACTCTTGCCAGCATCAGGCGCAATCACGAGAGCTGACAGCTAATTCGTCGAGAGCTTGGGGAAGGTCTTAGTCTTAGTTCTTGGAAGTTTTTAATGAGAACTCAGGGATTAAGGAACCACCCCCTTCCTTCCGGCTTGAAACCACAACAGAGTGCATCACTACATGAGTTTGGGGGGTAGGTGCCACACCCTTCAGGAGATTCAACCTGTTGACCTCGTCCCCCGCTCGTTCGATCGTACTTCCTCTACTGTGGTCGTCAGTTTTGCAGCTTGCAGTGGTGCCATTCATCGCTGTGAGGCTGCAGTCGTTCAGTTGGTTGCTTTTGTCCCGGGAACGCATTTGCGCAAGCTGGAAACCTCAGTGCGGCCGTGCCCACACTTCTAAGCTTTTCTCAGGGTGCCTTGCTGTCCACGCGGTCTTGCCACTTCCTTGCTCCCCCCTTTCTCTTGGCGACTCTTGAAAAGCGCGAAGCAATAGGGGATTTGGCAGACCATTGGCCAGAATCATGTGGCAGTGTGTTCCGAACGACCCAGGTATGTCAAAGGTGCGAAGACGCGGAGCAAGGTGATGAGAAAGCGCTTTCCCACATCTTCCGCAAGTTCAGAAACTGCCCGGAAGAAGCCGAAGGTCCAGGAGACGCTGCCTCCAATGCCGCTGCTCCGCATATCAGAATGGCAGCCTGGCACATGCACCCTCGTCAGCAGTAGGCACTAGTAGGCACTTGGTTGGGGGCATGCCGTGACGTGGAAAGCTAGCCAGCTCCATGTCAAACCGAGCTGCGATAGAAGATCGCTGTCGTGGAACGAGGTGCATTGAACGAGACGACCCAGCGCAGCGGAACCTCGACTGCTCGTTGTTATCGTTGTTACGAGTGTGTGTTCTGTGGGTGATGTCCAAGCGCAAGATCAAGCCACACCCAGAGCAACTGCTCCTCTTTTAGATGCGTTTAACGCCCCGTCAGGTCTGACTCCTGAAAGGTTCCCACCCCCGCTGTTGGGCAAGGCCTCTGAGAATTGTCAGACATTGCGAGGGCTCAGATCCACAATCCCAAATCCTATCAGTCCCAGTGGCAAGACCCAAAACGCCTGTCACTGAGAACTGGGCAGAAGTAGAAGAGGAGGACTCTGTCAGACCGAGGCCGGCTGGAAGCTGCGCTTACTTTCGCATGGATGCGGAGGACGAGGAGAGTGACCATGAGCCGCTGCTGGGCTCTGCTCTGCTCTCTGTTTTTTTTTTCCTCTCTCTCTCTCTCTTTTCTTCTCTCCCTTGGCGATGCTATGTCCTTGAAAGTCCGAAAGTCCAAACACCTTCGGGACATGGCTGTGACTGTGCCACTCTCACTCACACCTCACTTATTGTTGAGCGTTCAAGTTGCTGCGTTCCTGTGCAATGCTGCGTTGATGAATGTTGATGATGGGCAAACGCAAGAAGCCTGCCGCGCAAGGGGTGAGTTAAGGCTGGAGGCCGCGACACCGGCAACCAGCGACGCCTCGACGGCTGCGTCGCCGAGCGACCTGGGCACTCTGGCGGATGACATGAGCAAGCAGCCTGGCAAAGAACTTGATCTTTCGGGGATTGAAACCTGGCACCTGATGTGCAAGTCTGTAAAAGCCCTCGAACGTGAAGTTTCCAAACTTCCTTCCCCATGATTTCAGAGGGGTTCTGGGAGTTGCCAGATGAAGCGTCTTTTGACCGCAATAATAGCATACCCTATTCGCCCGCTTCTCACCCGCAAAGAGACCCCCACGGAGGCATGCGGTTCCAGACATCCCGGCCAGCTGGATGCAGCTTGGCCCAGCTTGAAGGGTTTCTTAGAGGGTTACACGGTTACCTTCGCCTTCGCTTCAGTTTCGAGCGCCATCTGTACGTGTGAGTCGCTGCGTCCAGGAATCGGGTTTGCCAGGGTTTTTACTTAGACCGGTTTTCACTTGTGCTGAGCCTGTGTTCTTACGGTTAAGCTCCGTAAGCCCTCGCAACTTTCTTCCCATAGTAACCATGTCTGCAGAAACGATGTGTTCGGCCATTCAGCGGCACACGGCAGATGCCGAACATGGAAAACTAGCCACTTTGTGTTTCTGATGACCTCCAGTTTGCTGTTGGACTGGTTGGCTCTACACTGCCTGAAGCAAGGCGTTCAAATCAAAGGGGACACTTGTTCAGCGCATTTCCAGCGACTCGCATCGAAGGGTTACTCTGAGGGTTGCACTGTTGCTTTCGCCCCGCCTTCGCCACCTTTGCTGCAATTTTGTGTGCAATCTGTAGGTGTGAGCCGGAAAGCGGCAACAGGTCCCTGGGCTGCATCCAGGAATCGGGGTTGCCATGGTTTTGTGCAGGACTACTTTCACCCTTCCTGAGCCGGTGTTCCTATGGTTAAGTTCCGTACGCTCTCGTAAAGCCTTAAGATCCGAAAGCCGGGCCAGTTTCGCACCTCAGGTCCCTGTTCTTCGATGTCTGCCATGGCTCGCCATTTTTGCAGCTTGGCCCCTTCATGTCTTGCGGAGTATGTCCGCGTGTCGCTGCGCAAAGGTGCTGCCCCCAATTGGCCGGTCAAATGTGAGAATGGGAAAGAATGGGTTTGCAGACCCTCTTTCTGCTTCATCGGGCTGTGTGTTTCTTTGGGCGACCTTTCCGACACTCCTTCGATTTCCCTGCTCTCTGTTCTGAGGCAGGGTGTGCTGGACTTCCTTCGCGTGCCTCGGTTGGAAAGACGAGTGATGAGCCCAGTGGTCGAGAGCGAGAGAGAGAGAGAGAGAGAGAGAGAGTGATATGCGCTGCAAGCAAGCAAGCAAGAGACGGAGAGAGAGGGGAGAGGGGAGAGGGGGGGGGGGGCGAGGGCGGAGAGAGGAGGAGAGGGAGCCACTCTGATGCAGGGCTTCTGTGCTCGATGCGAAACCATGTCTTTGACCTGCGGAGGTACTGGAGATCGTACGGTGGCGTGCGACGTCACGCCAGGCCAAGGAGCCCAAGGCAGGATAATCGGACCTAGGCGTAGCGCTGAGCTTGGCGCTTCTGCTTCTTGCAAGCAGAATGCAGCGTGAGATTTTGATGTCCGTCCTCATGCCACTTTAGCCAGGGAAACATGAAACGTCACAACAAGAGCGATAGTCCGATAGCTCCCGTACGAACGGCAGACCCCTGAAAGGCATGCTGCGTGCTAGTGATGCTAGTGGCTGCATGGTTTCGAGGCGTTGATGCTGCATCTTGAGGATTGGGGCAGCTTCAGCAGGCAGGGTAGTCGGGGCGAGACGGGAACGGGGCTTCAGGCACCTACCTGCTGGCTGTAGGACTGCAATGGGAGAGTAACATCTCATCTTACGATGGAGTGGCCTCGGACGTGTAGTACCTGTAGTATGCAGCATTTGCCATCGGTGCTGGCAAGCTATGCCTGAAGTTTTGTCTGCTTCCGGACGCCTGCGACTGTGTTTGCAGGCCGGCGTCAGTCCTGGACTTCTGCAAGATCCATGCTGGAATCGCGGACGCTTGCAGAGGTCTGCCAGAGACGTCTGAAGCTAGAGGGCAGGTGATTAAATCGCGATGCGATGGGAATCTGACGCTGGAGAAGGTCTTTCGCAGTTCCTCAGCTTCTATGGCAGTAAGACATTGTCACAGTTTCATGAGGGGGCCTCTTCGGTTCTTGGGTCTTGAGTCGGCACGGATCCAAGGCCAATGTTGGCTCTGCGAACAGACCTCAGCCAGGTGGGCGTGCTTTCCCGAGAGTGAAGTCAAGGAGATGACGCGCACAGTCATCCGGGAGCTGCTCCTGCAATGCCATTGCGTCGACGATGTTGTGTTTTTGGGAGGTTTTGCCGTGCTAGATTGGATCGCGCCCTATGGCCGGCGCGATGTGCAGGAAGACATCGGGTTTGCGTTTTTGGGCGTGTTGAGTTCTTTGTTGCTCAGACCAAAAGAGTACTGGAGCAGAAAGCGCCGTCTCATGCGCAGTGTCGTGAAAATCTACCAGTCGCTGGGGGCAGCACAGCGGCAAGGGTGGGTGGCCGTGCTGGCAAGGCTGTTGAAGCAGGAAGATGAGAGAGAGAAGCAGGAGTTCATCATTTCCACAATTGAGATCTTCTATCTGGGAGACGCAGAGCCAAGAAAGACCTTTGCGCCAGCGGACACGGAGCTTGAGGAGATTCAGCACGACAGGTCAACGACAGCGGCTGTGCGAAGGGCACTCTCCGCCATGCGGTTCCCCGGTGCCTGAGACGGACCAAACTACGCATGCTGCTCATCATGCAGCTCCGGCTATGAGCGCGCCTGGCTCGCCGAATGTAGCAGCCGCAGGAAGCCCAAGCGAGGCGAAGGCATGTCACAGCACCAAGATCCACAGGGAGCAGAAAGACCGGCCGTGGCTGCAAACGGGGAGACCGCCCCCGGCCGGACAGTGCGCAGGTTGCAGCTCTCCTGGCCGAGATCCAGCTCTTGCTTTGCGGTGTGCGTGAAGGGAGCCTGGAGGAGGCAAAGCATCAAAGGGGGCTGTGGCACTTCTCCAGGATCTGCGCGATAAAAAAGATGTGTCGGGGCTGGGCTACTGTTTGCGCTGCCCGCACATGCGAAAAAGTCTTTACGCTGCAGAGTCCATTCAACGACTTTGCAAGAACAAAGGAAACGTTGAAGCCACAACCTACCAAAGCCTAAGGCACGACTCATCTCCCAAACACTTGCAGTTCAGCTGGCGAGTCAGCTGCACTGCATGCCCGGACGAAGCTCAAGTTACGACATTAGCAGCGCTGTACCCCCAAAACTGAAACTCCTCAGCCGCTTACAGCTTCCTTTACCCCTGAAGTCCAATAATGGCTTCCAGTCCTGCCCCGTGTCTTTCTGCCCACTTGATCCAGCTGCAACGTTTAAATCCATGGAAGTCACCGAAGTGGCCTGTAGAAAGTGGAGCGATTGTATCATCAGAGGGCGCCATGGAAAGCCAGAGCTCGGAGGCTTTTACAGATGCGCATGATGCGCACCTCGGCGGATATTTTGAGCTGAGGTGCTGGGATGAGGTCGATGGGTAGGGTTTCGGGCGTTGCCTGGGATCATGGAGTTCCGCAACATTTCACAACCACAGCAGAACCTAACTACTCTTGCAAACAACACACACGCAATCAATACCCCAACATCCCTCAAAAGAATCCGGAAGCCCTGGTCACCGTGAGGCGTCTTGCCTCTAGAAACTAAGCTGCTGGCAAAATCGAAAGACTGTGGCAATGGCAACACCTCCCTGGTGCTGCTACACAACCCTCAGTTCCAGATTCTGCTGCTTTGCGACTGCTTGTCACTCACTACCATGTTATACTCAACTACTATTTCGTACTCAACAGGCCAGGCCCAGAAACATGAAATCTAGAAGTCATTGCCCAAGGCCAGCTGCAGCCAGTGACTTCGCGGCACACACTGTGTGTTGTGTGTTGTGTGTCGTGTGTCGTGTGTCGTGTGTGGTGTGTGGTGTGTGGTGTGTGGTGTGTGGTGTGTGGTGTGTTGTGTGTTGTGTGTTGTGTGTGTTGTGTGTGTTGTGTGTGTTGTGTGTGGTGTGTGTGTTGTGTGTGTTGTGTGTGTTGTGTGTGTTGTGTGTGTTGTGTGTGTTGTGTCTCCCAACTCAGGCGTTTCGTATGCTGCCGGAGCCTGCCAAAGTATTCCAGCTGTTCGAAGGAAGGCCGGGACTCGTTAGGGTTTAGGGTTGAAGTTTAGGCAGGAGACGAGCCCGGGCTGAAAAGGGTTTAGGGTTTAGGGTGCCTGCTTCAAAAAGGGTTTTGTGTGTTTTAATATTGAAAGAGAAGTAGACTTGCACAGGCACATGTCTACTTCCTAAAGGAACCTCCATGCATGTATTTAGCCTCGACAAGCCAAAAGCTTTCCACGAGCTGTGCCCAGCGTTTAGCGGGTTTGAGGCTTATTTGGTAGTGGAGTTGGTATCCTTTAACTTAACCTGTTGCAGATATGAAGTATGGTTTATATATGTTTATATTGCTGTTTTTGGTGAGTGTACATAAGGTTCCTTTCTAATATTGGTGAGTGTATATACCGGGTGTCCTTTTGGGGGTACAAAAAATATATACCCCATGGCATATGATAATCTCTACACAGCGATTATGCCCTAAACTCTAAAACCCGAAAGAAGAGCCTTGAAGTGCGCCCTTCCGCCACCGGTTGAGCAGGCGCGGGCATCCCCCAAGCCTAGATTGAACCAGGGCCAAGGGTTCTTGAACCCTAAACCCTAACCCGTCAGCAACTGCTATGTCAGGCCAACAAGATCCTGGAGGCCGGCTGTAGGCTGCTGGCATGTTCAACTTCTGAACCCGAGATCTTAAGAAGTCAATGTTCATAGTCGACTACTAATATGATAGTGTGTTTTTTGTGGTGCTCTGTTCTGGAACTTCCAAAAAAATAGCTGTCGTGGCTGTCGTCGCTTTCAGAGCTCCCCTAAAGGCCTCCCCTTAAAAACCAAAAGCCTCCTAGACTAAAACGAGACGTAGATTCTCTTTTTAGGAGCGAGGGGCATGAGAGACTCCCTAAATCCTGGGAAGCTGAGTGCTGAACAACTGAGACAGAGGCAATGTCTCGGAAAATTCCAACTCTAGGTTTAATAGATGAACGGATAAAGTACAACAACGCTGCAGAAACATCAAAAAAGCCTTCAGACTCCTGCACTGCAAGAGCACCGGTCCTGCGCTGAGACGAACTAAAATAGCATAGTTTTGTTCCGGTGGATTGCTTCCTCCGCAGACGCAGCCATCAAGTATGGCATGGCATAGTGACTTAGTGCCGCATGCGACTGCAGTCATCTGCAGTCGGTACTGGGCAACTGCTACAGTATCATCTCCGAGCCCTTGCAACGCAAATGGGTAAACTATGGCAAGCTGAGTACACTGAGCCCTTCATACATGACCAGGAAAAAGTTTTGTCGCTCTTGACAATACAACGTCTATGGGGGACAGTGGGGTACGCCCTCAAGCAACCACAAGTCATGAAGCAGCAGTGCAAGCATGGCTCAGCGGTTTCAGATGGAGTAATTGTGCAGGCAGATCCACTGGTTTTCTGCTCAGCCGTTCGATAATCTTCAGTATTCATCAATCTCTTCTTGACATCGCATTTAATTCCCATATCTGCCTCAGTTGCTGAGGCAAAGAACAAACTCTCAAGCATTCCTGCCCAGGCAAACAATATTGCTCCTACCATCCAGGCTACAGACGTGGGTTTTGCAGTGGCTCTGTGAGTTATATAATGGGGTTTCTGAATTAGGGGTACCTTATTGGGGTCCTTGTTACAAGGGAATCCTATTATTTGGGGGTCTATTTTAGGGGATCCCTATTTTCGTAAACCCCCAAGACACTCAAGACTCGAATCGAAGCTCCTTGGAGCAGAACATGGTGATCGCATGTGATTCCATGGGGCAATGGAGCTGTGAGCAAGCGATGCCAGACAGTAGTGTACTGTGCGAGCCTCGCATACACAGGAAGTGCCTTCTGCCGAGCCAACTTCACAGATAACATGTATCACAAGCTAGGCTAAGGACCGCCGTAAGTCTGAAGAGTGACTTCGAGTGCAATGTGCTTGTCGCTGCAGCCAAGTCTCCTAGAAAAATGCAAAGATACCAGTTGTAGCTCATATCAATCTTAGCCCTTCTTGTTTCCGGACCAGCTTTGCATGCAGGCGGCGGAAGCACGTGGCCAGGTGGAGGCGACTGAGAAGGAACCAAACGGTAGTCACGGCAGTGAGCAGAGGATGAAGCCCTTTGGAGTGAGCAACGTGTTTGTGTTCATCACGAAAGCTGCAAAGCTCCGAAATCTCCGGTTCAGCTTCACTAGCGACACATCTTGCAAAACGTCCACACCACCTGTGCAGAACCTCGCACAGCACCAGGCTGAAGCCTCTGAAGTTGAAGTGGCGGAGGCCAGTGTGCCCCACTCCATTGGGGTGAAACGGGGGTAAGTGAGATGCATCCCCCGCCAGGGTTCCATCGAGGTCCATTGCAAAGTTGGGCGTAGGGTCAGGAAGGTCCAAACAACTCCAAATTAGAACACTTTCAGGCAGGTCCGCAGAGTCCACAGAGGGCTCCGAAGGTTTCGCAGCGATAATCCAAAGGGAGCCCATTGTGGTTCGTAAGGCTTCGTAAGGGTTGCAGGGCGAGGGCAAGCGGACCAAGGGAGCGTTCGGTTGGTTCACAATGGGAAGTTCCTGGCTGGAAGTGTGTGGGGGTCAGCCTGAATCCGACGAGATCCTGCAAATGGCGGGGGGAGGAGGGGGGGGGGGCCCGGACCAAACACCAGTGCCGGTGGTGACGTTGCGTTTTTTTTTGGTTTTTGTTTTTCATTTTTTCCCCAAATGCCCCCAGAAGCCCTCAGTGGACTAGTATGCGCCCCGAAGATATCCGGCGAACACTTCGACTGAAGGTGTGGGACACAATACCAACACAGCCCAGAGTCCCGACGTGCCATGCTGATTGACCCCTGCCCGCCCATCCCACCCCCCCAAAAACCTAGGCTGCTGGTGGGGGCTTCCCATGAGATTTCAGGAGGCTTTCAGATCCTGAAACCTTCGGGTTCCGCACGGCCAGGATAGTCCACAAATCTTTCGGGTGATCTAGCAGTCGTAGCCGATGTCCCCTGCCCTAGAGAATTGATTGCGTGGCCTCGCCAGATGTGCTGACATTTGCTGCGTGAAAGCTTTGCAGATGCTGTTTCCCCAGCCTCTGCCATGGAAGCAGAGGTTGCCAAGGTCGTAAATGCAGCTGCCCCACGTTGACACTGCCATGCCATTTTCTTTCCCAGAACCAGCAAGAGTTATGTGACGTCTCAGCACGGCTCCTGCAATGCACGCTTGTGTTTCCCATTGTTGCGCCATGTGGCAAAGATGTTGCATCGAAAGCCTTGCTTGCTGCTGCAAGTTGCAGGTGCCGGCTCCAGAGCCGCCCCCCGACGCATCGGCACCAGTCGAAGCATCTGTGTTCCAGGCCTGCTGCAGGTCGGCTTAAACACGGCGCAGCCTTTAGGGTTCTAGCGCCTTGGGGTTTGAGAATGGTCTTAAGATACACGTACACGTACACGTACACGTACACGTACACGTACACGTACACGTACACGTACACACACACACACACACACACACACACACACACACACACACACACACACACACACACACGCAAGAAGCAACTCGAAGCGGCCAGGCCTGCGTAGCGGATCCCGACAGCCCATTTGCCACTTTGTCGGCAAGTCCTGTTTGCAGTGATCATAAAAGCCCGCCTTTTTTTTTTAGTGCTGTACAGCGCTGGAAATCGGCATCTGGCCTGAGCCCGTACATGGGAGTGGCTGTTTTCATATCTCGTGCGTAAGTACTCTTCCATATTTGGAGAAATAGAAGAACAGGCCCTCGAATCCTAGCCCTGAGTTCTTGGGGGTCTTCCGAGTTGCCGTTTTATTGGCAAGTGCACCGCTGGCGGCTCCAAGCATCGACGTTCATGTGTTGCGGCAAGCTTTTGGGGATTCACCGATTCGGAGGTTCCGGCAGATTTTTGTTGGCCGCTGGCATGTTAAACTGCTGAAACCTTATGGCCCTAAAACCCGAAAGGCTGGGCCGTATTTAAGGGGACCTGCAGCAGGCCTGGAACAAAGATGCCACGCCATTTGCCACTTTGTCGGCAAGTCCTGTTTGCAGTGGATCATAAAAGCCAGTCTTAATCGCGTTCTGGCCTGACTGTTTTCATAAGACCACGGTCGTACTGGCCTAAGCCCTGTGCGTGCACGTTCTGTACGTTCAATCGTGCTCGGACCTAGGGCTTGTGCGCTTTTCGTGACCTGGGCCCTTACTCTATGCTTACATGCTAGGGGCCCGGTTTCGCCAATTTGGGCCCTTCAGCCAGACCTAGGCCTTTGCTCTATGTCCACATGCTAGGGGCCCCATTCTCCCAACAAGGGACCTGGCCCCTGACTCGTGCTTGTTGGACTGTGTGGCCTGAGAGCGTAAGGTGCCGGGGCAGATCTGGGTGCAGCAGCAGGCCCGCGAGGTTGAGGGGCTAGGGCTGAGGCTTTCTACCTCAATCCCTAGAGCCTGAACCCTCAGGCCGAAGTTAAGCCCTCATACATATGCATGCACATCTACATCTAAATACATGGATATGTACACATTCATACATGTAGACACGCAGCTTGTCGTTTCTAGGGCCAGGACATGTTGGCACCGGAGGTATGTCAGGTACGGTTTGCCACACTTCTTAAGTCGTAGGACTTGGCGCAGAGGATCTGCAGGGTTGAGGTTACTGAGCAACCCGATCACATCCCTCGGCGTGCAAAACCTGCAAAGCCCCAAGGGCCCTGTAGGCTTATGGAGTTGAGGGGTTCGAATTTCGGGTTTAGGATGGGGGCAGCTGCAGTTCAAGATCCTTACCTTTTGTCCCCTACCCTTCCAAAAACCTCCCCCCAAAAAGTTTCTTCTTGAGGTACAGGTGCAGTCAATGAAGAGCTGTATTGGGGGTACATCGAGGGATAGGGGGTCCAGAGTCCACACAGGGTTCAGAAGGCTTCGCAGCGAAAATCCAAAGGGAGCCCATTGTGGCTCGCAAGGCTTCGTAAGGGTTGCAGGGTGAAGGCAAGCGGACCAAAGGAGCGTTCGGTTGGTTCAGAATGGGAAGTTCCTGGCTGGAAATGTGTGGGGGTCAGCCTGTATCCGACGAGATCCTGCGGGGGGGTGACGTTTATTATTTTTCCCCAAATGCCGCCATGGGGTATATGTGTATGTGCCTGGCTCGTAAATGCAGCCGCCCCACCTTGACATTGCCACGGTATAGTAGGTCACTCTGCAAGCGTTATGACTGGACCCCCTGACAGGACGTGACCTGCAATGCACGCTTGTGTTTACCATTGTTGCGCCATGTGGCAAAGATGTTGCATGGAAAGCCTTGCTTGCTGCTGCAAGTTGCAGGTGCCCACGATTGCAAAAGCTCCTGCTCCACCGGCGCCAAGGCTGTGGGGAGCCGCTACGCAGGCCTGGCCGCATCGAGTTCGTTTTTTGACGTGTGCGTGTGTGAGGTTGGTAAAAATGCATTGGCGCCAGTTTGACATTGCCATGCCATTTTTTTGCCGCAAGATGGGAAACGGAGGTGGTGCCATCCGCAGCAAAGGCATCTGCCAAGGCAGCGTTGGCAAAGTTGTCTCATGGCAGCGCTGTCTCAAAGGTGCAGCTTTTGTAGTTCACTCTGCAAGCGTTATGACTGGAACCCCTGACAGGACGTAACCTGCAATGCACGCTTGTGTTTCCCATTGTTGCGCCACGTGGCAAAGATGTTGCATGGAAAGCCTTGCTTGCTGCTGCAAGTTGCAGGTGCCCACGATTGCAAAAGCTCCTGCTCCACCGGCACCAGGGCTGTGGGGACCCGCTACGCAGGCCTGGCCGCATCGAGTTCGTTTTTTGACGTGTGCGTGTGTGAGGTTGGTAAAAATGCATTGGCGCCAGTTTGACATTGCCATGCCATTTTTTGCCGCAAGATGGGAAACGGAGGTGGTGCCATCCGCAGCAAAGGCATCTGCCAAGGCAGCGTTGGCAAAGTTGTCTCATGGCAGCGCTGTCTCAAAGGTGCAGCTTTTGTAGTTCACTCTGCAAGCGTTATGACTGGAACCCCTGACAGGACGTAACTTGCAATGCACGCTTGTGTTTCCCATTGTTGCGCCATGTGGCAAAGATGTTGCATGGAAAGCCTTGCTTGCTGCTGCAAGTTGCAGGTGCCCACGATTGCAAAAGCTCCTGCTCCACCGGCACCAGGGCTGTGGGGAGCCGCTACGCAGGCCTGGCCGCATCGAGTTCGTTTTTTGACGTGTGCGTGTGTGAGGTTGGTAAAAATGCATTGGCGCCAGTTTGACATTGCCATGCCATTTCTTTGCCGCAAGATGGGAAACGGAGGTGGTGCCATCCGCAGCAAAGGCATCTGCCAAGGCAGCGTTGGCAAAGTTGTCTCATGGCAGCGCTGTCTCAAAGGTGCAGCTTTTGTAGTTCACTCTGCAAGCGTTATGACTGGAACCCCTGACAGGACGTAACCTGCAATGCGCGCTTGTGTTTCCCATTGTTGCGCCATGTGGCAAAGATGTTGCATGGAAAGCCTTGCTTGCTGCTGCAAGTTGCAGGTGCCCACGATTGCAGAAGCTCCTGCTCCACCGGCACCAGGGCTGTGGGGACCCGCTACGCAGGCCTGGCCGCATCGAGTTCGTTTTTTGACGTGTGCGTGTGTAAGGTTGGTAAAAATGCATTGGCGCCAGTTTGACATTGCCATGCCATTTTTTTGGCTCGTAAATGCCCTGATAGCAGGACGAACCATAAACACCCTAAAGGCCCTGAAGACCCTTAACCCTTAGAACCCTTTCCGCCCCCTAAGCTCTGAAATCCCGAAAAAGCCTAAGAAAAGAATGCCAAAATTAAAACGCCCTAAGCCCCAAAAGACCAAAAATGCCTCAAACACAGCCTAACCCCAAAACCCTAAACCCTAAACTTAATGGCCCTAAAAGCCCTGGCAGCCCTGAAAATCCTAAACGCCCTTAAGAACCCCTGAAAAGCCTAAGAACCCAGAAGGGCTAAATGCCCTAAACGTTCCCAACATGCCATAAACCCTACCAGCCCTAAAAGTGCTCAATGCCCTAAAAGGCCTAGAACCCATGAAGCTTCAAAAAGCCTTAAAATCCTCACAACCCAAAACCCTAAAAGAAACACTTGCGACCAAATATTCAGCCCCCCAAAACCCTAAGCCCTAAAATCCTAAGATTTTGTACGCAGGCGCATTCCTAGACTCTAGACCCTGAATCCTAACCCTAAGGCCGTAAAGGCCATGCACCTGAAGCACGGGGCTTCTGTAAAGGCTCCAAATTATCCTTGTAACCAATTAGCTTGAGACTCAACCCTGAACTGAATCCCCAACCGTAAATCCTCAATCCAACGCCACCTCAACCCCTAGAGGCACTACCCCCCTCCCCCGAAACCTCCGAAAGTCCGGAGTTTTTGAAGGCTTTTCTTTTTGGCGTGCCAGGATTTTAGGGTTTTAGGGGTTTGAGAACGAGGGCCTAGCGGTCGATCCTAGGACTCCGCAATAGTAATCCGTTCCAGAAAGCGTGCGCAGACAGGACGCACTGTACGCATAGTCGGCGTGGGAAGCGCGGGAGTTTGGTGTTAAAATCATCTTGCCTTTAACCGGATTGACTTCTTCTTCAGACGTAAAACACAGTACCTGTCGACAACTATTGTGATCTGCGAACAGAGAAAGCAGCACGACAAGCAAAAACCCTTGACCAAACTCGGAACTGAATTTGGAACCCGGTAACCCTACAGTAGGAGCTTAAACCGGAAAACCCTTACACCCTGGGTTTTCTGCCGGAAACCCTTGCACCCCGACGTTTCTGGGCTCGCGGTTTTGGAGTGCAAGGTTTTGGCTACTCTTCGGTTGGGTTTAGTTGGGGGTTTAGGGACTTTAGGGCCTGGGGTTTCAGGTCAGGGCAAGCAACCTGTTTGAGGCCACCCTTAGAGCAAAGCCAGACCCGAATCCTAAACCATCGCAGGATGAAAGGATGAATTGCACGCCCAACCTGTCCAAAGAGCTGAGGAAGGTCCATCCGCAGGGGTACATCGAGGGATAGGGGGTTTAGAAATAGAGGGTTCAGAAGGTTTCGCAGCGAAAATCCGAAGGGAGCCCATTGTGGTTCGTAAGGCTCCGTAAGGGTTTCGGGGCGAAGGCAAGCTGACCAAAGGAGCGTTCGGAGTCCCTGGCTGGAAGTGTGTGTGGGGACCAGCCTGAGTCCGAGGAGATCCTGCAAACGGCGGGGGGAGGAGGGGGGCGAGGGCCGGACCAAAAACCTGTGAAGGTGGTGACGTTGTTTTTTTACCCCAAATGCTGCCAGGGCCCCAAAAAACCTCGGCTTTTGAATTTTCGTTTCTCGCTTGAGAAACGTGAAAGGAAGTCGCAGCAGTTCTCAGATCCTGAAGCCTCCGCAGGGAGAGGATAGTCCACAAGTCTTTAGGGTGATCTAGCAGTCGTAGTCGATGTCCCGTGCCCTAGAGAATTAGTTGCCTGGGACAAGTTGCAGGTGGGCGCGACACAGGCCTGGTCGCATCGAGTTGCTGTGTGTGTGTGTGTGTGTGTGTGTGTGTGTGTGTGTTTTTTTTTTGTGTGTGTGTGTGTGTGTGTGTGTGTGTGTGTGTTTGTCTCTGTCTCTTTCTCTATATAATATACGTGTATTTGTATTTATATACATATACATATACATATACATATACATATACATATACATATACATATACATATACATATACATATACATATACATATACGTATACGTATACGTATACGTATACGTATACGTATACATATACATATACATATACATATACATATACATATACATATACATGCTTGCATACATACATATATGTTTTATGCGTGTGATATCATGATTGAGCTTGCGTTTGCTTGAAATTTCTTGAACGGAGAACGCTCAACGCGATAGAGCCAGTCAGATTTGCACGAGAGAATGAAAACGATCAAAACTTGCTAAACATTTTTGTGGGTTACGAAGACCCGGGAGACTGGGGTGCTTGTCAGCTTTTTCCTAGAAGACGAGGGCCTGGAACTCCAGTGCAGCTGCCGATCCAAAAAGTCTCGCGTGTAGTATCTCACCTTTCGCAGCCCACAGCAGCTTTTGACTGGTACTGCGTTTTAAGTCTGCGGACTAGTCAGGCTAGAAGGCAAGATGATGTAGCGCCGGAGTGCCACCCTTGCCGTGCCGACTGTGCGTACAGTGCGTCCTTGTGTGCGTGTGAGAGAGTGATTCTGTGTGCGCGTTCTGGAGGGGATTGCTACTACAGTGTCCCCCAAACCCTAAGCCCCTGAAGAAACCTAAGACTTGCTAGATGTTGTATGCAGGCTTATGATGATCCTTCACCCTAGTATTAAACCCCAAACCCGAAGGCCATAAAGGCCATGAACCGGAAGGGTGGGGCTCTGGTTAAGGGCTTGATTTTGACCTTGTTCGGTTTAGAGATGAGGGTTTAGGGTTTCCGGTTTCAGGTTCGGGTAAGCAACGCATTCGAGGCCGAGACCAAACCCAGACCCAAAGCCCTAGACCCTCGCAGGAAAGAATCCTCCATGAAGTTGCAATGGTTCGATCCATGCTGGAGGCCGGGGGGGGGGGTTGAACCCGAAGGCTGCAAAGGCCATGAGCCTGAAGCATGGGGCTCGTGCGTTCTGTTAAGGGCTTGATTTGTCGGGTTTAGGGCCTTTGGGGCGAGGGTTTCGGGTTTCCAGGTTCGGATATGCAACGTATTTGAGGTCGGCCCGTCGGAGTGGGCCCTGCGTTGATTGAAAGATCATCTTTGAGCGTACCCCTAGTTGCTGCTTAGGACTCGCGTGACCCTGGCAGCGTCCCAAAAGCTGCTTCAGGATGCTTGATTGATTGAGACCTGCGTCTGGCCTGCGTCTGGCCTTGCTTGATTGAAAGATCATCTTTGAGCGTACCCCTAGTTGCTGTTTAGGACTCGCGTGACCCTGGCAGCGTCCCAAAAGCTGCTTCAGGATGCTTGAGATGTATTGAGGCCTGCGTCCGGCTTGAAGCATTGCGCTTGAAGCTTTGCTGCTTGACCAGTCTTCAGAGATTGCATCGACTGCATGGACACTGCGTCGTTGCTCGAGAGTCTGCATGTTGTTGTGTTGATGAATCTAGGTTTAAAGGGGGGGTAGCTGGAGTTCGAAACAGCCTGTTGCTGTTGTGAAAATTTCGTTGGTGCCAGCCATGAGCTCACCTGCGTGGGCAAGACCCACTAACTTCTTGCCGGACGGCACGAGATGACAGGGAAAGCAATGGTCTTCGGGCCATGACCATGACAAGCAGCAACTGTCAACTGACAACACGCACCTCAGCAATTCTCGTTTATCGTGCAGCTGCTGGTGTTGCACTATTCTTTCAAACCTTAAGAGCAAAGTTGGCGCTGACGTGGACGAACCCAGAGCAGCAACGCACAAAGCTGGCAGAGCTTCGTGGTCAGAGCATTAAACACTTCCCGATTGAAAGTCACAAACAGCAGTTGGAAGTGCCGTGCTTGGCAGCAGTGGTGTGTAACTGGCTACCACGTTGGCACTTGTGTTTCATGTTACCTGGTTGGCCAGTGTTGACTGATGAGGATGGAAGAACTCTAGACCTAGTAGAGAGCTTACGAAGCTCAGATGTATAAGGAACTTTCGGCGGCCTTCTTCCTGCAGAACGGTGGACTCTTGGATGACGAGATTGGGGTCCAGGGTCTGTTAAGCCGACATCTTCAACCACCAGTCGGTTGGTTTTCAGTCATACAGGTAGCGCTGGACATAGAAAGACCGAGCATGCTTGAAAGTAGCAAGAGATGCGGTGTTTAGGAAACAAGGATTGTTCGTTGCAGAGGTTGCTGCTTTCTACACAATTCGAAACACGATCCCTGAAACGTGGGCCACAAGTCTTTCACGATTTGCGTTGCCGACTGAGGTGTTGGTATTTGAACCCGTTTTAAAGCCACTTGGTAAATGTACTGTGATCAACACGCGGTCCCACGGTCAATAAAGGTTCACGCGCACATTTCTTCTTCATCATGCTTTGGAGTACATGAAAAACATGGACACTTTTGGCATTTCTTGGCGACTGGCACCCAAACCCCGCGCCATCCCGCGCCCTAAACTCCAAACCCTAAATCCCATACCTTAAACCCTAAACCCCAAACCCTGAACCCTGAACCCTAAACCCTAAACCCTTAACAGCCTGCGATGCGCAGCCCAGGAGGTGGCGTGGGACGCCAAGTGTCGGGGCCTGCTGCTCCAGTCGAAGGTGGGATTTTGTTTCCCAAAATGGCGACCCCAACAGATCCTCTCTTTTTGAGGGTCTAGGGTCTAGGGTTTAGGTTCTAGGGTTTAGGGCTACTGGGACCCAGAGTAGCCCTTGTAACCTCCTGTAAACCAAAAAGGGCACCCTGTTCATTCCTAGGCTACTCCTGGCTCTAGCTTTCTAACCATAGTCAGATGGGCGTTCCTGTATGGTGGCTTCCGGGCCCCAGTGTATATGTAGGCAGAGGGATCGCTCTAGCAAACTTACACTGCCACAACTGCGCTGCCAGGTGGCATGCCTCAGGCTCCACTTCGCCGGGTTCGCCGGGGGCCTTGTAGCCCCGGACCCCCGAGTCCTACGTGGGGTCTTCAGGGTAAGGTTCGGTGCTCAGGTCGACTGAAATTGTCACGCCTCCAACTCATGGACCTTTGGAGACAGCCCCTGAAAAATGCTGATGTCACGGTCGCGAAGGAAGGACCAGAGTGTAGGGCTTCCAGGTTCCCCGAAACCCTGCCCAACTCACAAAAACCCCTCCGCCTCCCCGAGCCAAGGAGAGAGCCCTTAAATGTCCATAATGCCTTCAAGTGTCAAAGAGCCCCAACAGCACCTAAAGCCCCCCCCCCCTCGTAAACTCAAAGACCTGAACACCCTGCCCCCTTCCCGCCTCAAAAGGCCCTGCCGTGGGATATCCAGACGCCTTGCCGTGGTTTCTCGAGTGCATTCCAGTTTTTTGTGTTGTTGCAAGTACAATTATTATTATTATCCTTATCGTTATCTTTTTGTTATTACATTTGTTATTATTACAAGCCCGTCATGCCACTAAGGGAGATCGAGGAGGTGTAGGTGCCAGGGGCTCAAAGTGGCGTTGCTTGTCATCATTCATGTTGTGCGTGCGTGCCTGCGTGCGTGCATGCGTGCGTGCGTGCATCACACTCCGCTATCTCCAACGCGCTCCTGTGCTCCCAGCTGCAAATTCTCCAGCACGCTGGAAAACAAACAATTTCAGCCAAGTGAAGGAGGCAGTGAAGGGTAGATCATGTCAGGAGGTACTACTGATGATACCAATCCGCAATCCAAAGCAGATGTTCAGGAAACCCCGCGATTCAGGAAGCCCGGCGATTCAGGAAACTCGAAGATTCAAACCACGCGATGCAGGAAACCACGCGATTCAGAAAACCGTGCGATTCAAGAAACCACTCGTTTCAGGAAACCACGCTCGAACCCCGGATCCGCGCGGCAACCGAAATTTCCAAGCAAGTGCAAAGGCAGGGGGGGATGGGCGGTCGATTCCGGCCGGGATCCGCCCTGTTGAAATTTTCACGCAACTGCAAAGGCAGCGACGGGGGTGTGGGGGGATGATAATGTTCATGTCACGCCTGCTTTCAGAAAGTTTTGCGAGTCAGGGGTTGCTTCCTGCAGGCGACAGTGCCATTCAGGAAACTGCTAATTCCGGGATCCACCCGGTTGGAATTCTCAAGCCACTGCAAAGGCAGCGACGGGGGGGGGGGGGTTGGGGGGCATGATAACGTGCATGTCACACGCTTCATTTTCCTGAATCACCTGGTTTGCGAATCTGCGTGCTTCATTTTCCTGAATCACCTAGTTTCCGAATTCGCGCGCCCGAGTTTCCTGAATCACCCGGTTTCCGAATCCGCGCGCGTCATTTCCCGAATCACCTGGCTTCCGAATCCGCGCGCTCCAGTTTCCTGAATCAGCTAGTTTCCGAATCCGCACACTCCAGTTTCCTGAATCACCTCGTTTCCTGAATCCTGGTTTCCCGATTTCCGGTTTCCTGAATCAGCTGGTGTCCGAATCCGCGTTTTCCATTTTCCTGAATCGGCGGGTTTCTCGAGACCTGGTTTCCCGAATCCGCTCTTTTCAGAATCCTTTCTTTCCAATTTACGAATCGTACCCAGGCATCCGAATGCATCCAAACATCACGTTTGGGAAGCTCGCTCCATCGATTTTAAGAGGGCTCTGCAGAGGCGAAAGATTCGGGTCTAGGGTTTATTTAGGGCGTATTTGGGGTTTATGGGGTTAGGGTTTAGGGTGTGAATTCTTCTCAGCACACAGGTCTGTGACGACCGGTGAAGGCCTCCGCAGGGTGTTGGTACACCTGCAGCAATGAACAACACTGCTCAAGCACAACGGCGCTTGAGCCAAGAACTCTGTAAGTTGCGTGCATTCGGCGCGCAAGTGTAGCTGCCTGCCCAGCTAAATCGCCAATGACCAGACTCTCTCTTTCCGGGATGTGCGTTTGCTTGCGCCAATCATGTGAGCAAAAGGCAGATGGGGGTTTAGGATATCAGGGGTACATGCTTGCGGATTTGGGGGTCTATACTAGGGGTCCCCTATTAACGTAAACCCAGGGATGACTTGGCCCTGGCGCATGTATGGCTGGGGGATTCTTGTGGACGGCATGGGCTCAAGCGCATCTGAGCACACTAGAGTTCAGGAGCATACTTTGAACCATGCATGGCTTCGAAAGAACGTTGTTTTTTGCCGGAAGCCTCATAAGCCACAGTCCTTAGTTCGGGAGACCCTGCAAGGCGTCAGCGCAGGCATCAATCAGGTTGAGAGCCTGAAACCCTAAACCCTAAACCCTCAAACCCCTAAACCCCAAACTCCGAACCTTAAACCCTCAAACCTCAAACCCTAAAACCTAAACCTGGTCTTCCCGAAGTGGCTCTGCGTCTTACACCAGTGCGGATCATGGCAGACCCTTCCCCCGTGCTACTGGTGGCCGCTGCCAACCAGGCTTATAGTCTTGTAGGGTTCTTAAGGGAGGGGGAACCATGGGGGAAGGTACCTAGGTAACCTAGGGAAACCCCCTTTCTTAAAAACCCTATAACAGACCTTTCAACAACCCGTAGAGTTCCGAGATGTTCCGAGTGGGAGACCCTAATCCCAAGCCTCAGCCCTCAAACCCTCAAACCCTAAACCCTGGAACCCCGGGCTTAAAACCCTAGAACCCAAAAACCTCCAAACCCTCAAGCCCTCAAGCCCTCAAGCCCTCAAACCCTCAAACCCTCAAACCCTCAAACCCTAGACCCTCTGAGGCTTCAGATTAAACCAGAGGTGCCAGTCTCGCTGTCGCGCGAGCGAGCGTGCCGTCGCGCGAGCGAGCGTATGCGCCCAAACCCTAAGCCCTTAACCCAGTAAAGTCAGGGTCCAAACCGCACATCCCTACCTACTAAGAATACTAAGCAATCCCTAGAATACTACGAATACTACGAATACTACGAATACTAAGAATACTAAGAATACTAAGAATACTAAGAACACTATGAATATTAAGAATTCTAAGAATACTAACTCCTAACATGGAGCAGACATGTACTAGAAGCACCCTAAACCCTAAAACCTCATGTTCAGGTTGCTGACTCCCTTATCTTAGGGTCCTAGACAAGAACCCTAAGACCTGAAACTGCCCGAGCCCTCACAATCCCACAAACCCTCGGGCTCAGGGTTTCGGAATGTCGGGTTTAGGGCTTAGGGGTTGAGGGTCAACAAAGCTTGAGACTGGGATTCCGAAGCCTTTCAGGTGCCAGCTCTTCCGCGCCGTGAAAGAGGCGCAGCTGACTCAGCCTGGGGTTCCCAGTGTTGCGCATCACCGCTCTTCATGTGCATAGGGGGAGTTTGTGGGGTTTGGGTTTTTAGGGTTTAGGGAAGGTTCCCAAGTGAATCCGAAGTTGGGCTTCTGTTGGCCAAGTCTGCACTAGGGTGCAGGGTTTATCAGGAAAGGGAGTGGAGGGGAGAGGGGAGGGGAGGGGAGGAGAGGGGGAGGGAGCGGAGCGGAGGAGGGAGCGGAGAAAAGAACAGGGAGAGGTCTTTCGATGACATCTTGCATGCGGTTGCATTTTCCCCCGTCCCCCATCCTGCTATGTTATTCATCGGCCATACAAGAAACCTCTCCCCGACCCGTGTAGGTCTAAAACCTATCCCCTTTACCGTCAAAGCCATGGACCCATGGACCCAAAAACCCTCGACGCCGAAGCCGCAGTTCTGAAGCTGCAACTCAGAGGTCTACTTTCCCGAAGCCTCCAAAGGGGGAATGATCCAAGGTCCAGGCCCTTTGTCTGTTAAATTTAAAAGTAGGAAGGGCCCATAAGCTAGATCAACCCCGCAAATGCCGGCAGTCCATAAAGGCTTTGGTGCATGTCGGCACGGTCCCGATACAGCCACAGAACAAGCAGCCACATGGAGACAAGCACGCAGAACCCCAAGAACCCTCGACATCTGAAACGCAGAAAAAAACAAACTCCAGGAGTGGCACGACGCGACATGTCCTAACCCCTGTTCACGAAGCCGGAAAACACGCAATCATGAGCATCTCACGCAATACTTTCGGTGGCCCCTTGTCTGTTCTGTCTTTGTCATTAGTCTCTCTGACAAGGTGGGAGGTCGTCGCTGTTCCAAGGATTCCGACCTTCTCTTCCTTCAGCTTCCCTCCCCTTCCCTCTTCCCTTTTTTCGCGCGGTCCAAACCCTTTTGAAAGACAGGAGAGAGGAACGCAGGAGGAAAAGAAAGCATGGAGAGGAGTAGGAATCGTTCGGGAAACTTCCCCCCGGCACAAACGAAAACATGGCGTAACGAATTGGGGGGTCTGTCCTTTGAAGGCATTCGCCCACCAATTTGATACGCCCAGTTTTTTTGTTTCATGCTTTGTCCATCGCACCGCCGCCGCAAACCGAAAACATGGCATAACAAATTGGGGTCTGTCCTTTGACTGCTTTCACCCCCCAAATGGTTACAGTTTTTGTTTCTCCTTTGTCCACGACGCCACCGTCACAAACCAAAAACATGACGTAACAAACTGGGGGGTCTGCCCTTTGAAGGCTTCCCCCCCACCAATTTCGTTTTGAGGTTGAAGACAACCCTCCCCTTTCTCTTTCTTATTCCCCTCTTTTCGCACCTTTCTGAAAAGAGTAAGAGAAGAAAGGACAAGAGAGATAACTGCGCAGGTCTTTCCCGAGTTGCTTCAGCAAGCTGCAACAGGGTACCAAGTATGAGAGTTCAGAGCTTCTCGAAGACTCCTCGATCCAATTTGCCTCACATCCACGTACGTACTTTTCTCTGCAGCGATTCGAATGGACCCATGTCCGCTCCTTCACAGGTTGGAGGCAACAACGTTTAGACAAGCGAAAGCTGCTCCCAAGACACCGAGCTCCGGAATCGTGCTGGATCATCTGCGTAGATGTATTCGTCCAGTAGTCACGGCTCTGCAATATGGCATTTTGGCTTCCCGATCGTGTGCCTTCACCCTAGCCACTATTGTTGTCCAATTGCTTCTACCTCGCCACCATGTTGCGACGGAAAGCAAGGAGCCAGTTCGGAACCTGCGCCCGTGAAACCCACGTCTTGTCGGCACCTGTCAAGAAGCCCTGACTCTGCGCTTCACATATAGCAGCGCTGCTACTGAGGCATCCGCGACATCAGACATGACGCTTGCAACGAGCGGCGCCGGGTTCTCAGCGGCACATCGATTGCTGCATGTTGTTGATGGGAAACTTCATCTATTCTCTTGATCCTTTGTCAGTTGTCGAGATGTTTTGAGACTGCGGGTCGGCTCAAAATTCAAGCCGCGAGTGGGTCAAAGTGACCTACTTTGAGTAGAGCATCGAACTGGAGCAGAGCGACACAGTGCTACACAGTGCGCAGCAGGAGCGTCGGCAACAGCAGCGACGGCATGGAAGGAGGCCACAAAGAGCAGCTGGGTGCCCTCACGCTTTGCAGCGCACTTGGAGGGGTTCTCGGTATAGCCGCGGTCATCTTCGGAGCGCTGGTCCAGTGGGCAGGTGTCATGCCAGACCTGGAAGAATATGGGCGCTATGTCCTCCTCGGGGGTGTGGTTCTTTATCTGGTACATCTGCTTGAAGCCCTATGCAAAAGCAAAACCTCCAAGTACCTCTATTGGATTTTGAGTGAAACCGAGTTCGCTTCGTATGTGAAAGAGTTGCAATCGGCTAAGCCCGAGATCAGGTGGACGATTCAAAACTACCACTATGAAGAGAGACGGACCAGAGACAAGGATGGGAAGGAAAAGGTCGAAAGGAAGAGGGTGAACACCCATCGTGCTCAGGCATACTATGACATCCAGGGCTTCTTGGATGAAACTCTTTCACCTGAGCAAACGCTGGCCATGTTCCACTTGCTGTATGATGGCGAACACGAGGACTTGGAGGCAAACAAGAAGAAGTCGAGGAGAATCTTCTTGCTTTGCGAGATGCCTCTGGAATACCATGCGATCGATGACCAGGAGGAGCAGCGCCTCTTTGGTCGGAGAGAGACGTTTTTCAGAGAGAACACACGTGACACTCACCAAGACAAGAAATCGGAACACCTTATCAGCTGTCACCACAAGAGCCACGTCATGGTGATTCTCAAAGAAGGTACCGATGACAGCCGTGCGCGCCCGTGGTGGATGAGCTATTGGTTCTATGCCATTTGCACGGTTTTTCTGATGAGTGTGCCTTTCCGGGTCTTCTTCTTTTCGCAGTGCGCCAAAATACAATGGGAGGTGCTGAAGCACTTCTCTCACAAGCAGGAGGAACTGTGGACAGAAGATCCAAAGCACAGCCGTGCAAAACGCACAGATGCTGCATCGAAGGCATTTCGAAAGGTCAAGCGTGAAATGCCTGCGCGAACGTTCTCAGGAAAACGAGCTGCATGGGATGAGGGACCCGCAAGTATGGAAGATGTCGGACCGCCTGTCACAGTGCCTGTGGGAGTTCCATCATACTGGAAGAATCGAGATTTGGACAAGGACTTCGATGAGAAGATCAACCTGTCACCTGATGAGCGGGAAAAGATGCAGCAGCTGTTGGATGTGACCTTCAAGAACAAAGCCACCAGAGATCGGAAGAGCGATGGCATGCCAACCAGGCTGATTGCGACCCAAGTGATTCGCATGGAGGACAGCAAGATGTGGCGGCGATTTGAGCAGAAGCGTGCGGAGCTGGCACTCAAAGGACAGCTTGCGCTGGGCCCCACGAGCTGTGAATGTGTGAGCCGTGTGCAGCAGATGCACATGCATTTGATGCAAAGTATTAGGTATGTACGGATGTATATGAGATGTATATGAATACATTGATTTCTATGTATGTACATATGTACTACATGTACATACGCAGAAGTTCACACACATAGACATGCATACACATACATACATACATACATACATATATATATATATATATATATAAATCAATATATCTACACATATACAGATAAATGAGTCAAGAAGAAACGTACATTTTGCCTACGTAGTACATTAGTATGTAGAATATGCATCATATGAAAAGTTTATGTATGCATGCATGTATGTATGTACGTGTGTATGTATGTGTGTAAGTATGTATATGCATGACATTTAACGCTGCGCGACCCGCCTCGGGTTTTGGGGTTCGTGGTGTCCATGGTTCAAGGTTTAGGGTCTAGGGTTAGGGGATGTCCAGCACGAGCCTTTTTCGCTCCAGCCACGAACTCAAACCCGAATTTTTGCAGCCCATACCCAAGCTTTGGAGTCAGGTACAGTAGCCTCAGCTCTGGTTGCGGCCTAAGGTCCCTAATCTTTAGAGTCATAAAGTCAAAAGAGTAGGCCTTGAATTGTAAAACCTAAGCCCTAAACGCTAAACCAAGGGGCTAGGGGGGGGTTCTAGTGGGGGGGTGGAGGGGTAGCTCTTCCAAGCAGAAAAGTACCAAAGAAAGGGCGGCAACTCGAGGGGTTGGAGGACACTTGCGGCCCCAGGCCGCGGCAGATGTGATTGTTGTATTGTAATGCCATGTGCAATGTAAGCAGAGCGTCGCGTAATTTGCTGCAATGTATGTAGGTATATGCATATATGAACTATGAGTGAGTGTATCCCTATATACAAATACATCATTGAACCCCATCGCTGTCATTTTTCACTCGTGCTTTCCAGCTCGACCCAGCATACTCGAGGACGGCCCAAGCTGATGCAGGAGATGCCCGGAAGTGGACCTTTCAAGACCTCACCAAATGATGAGACGTCACTGCCATCCTGCCTTCAGGAGGTGACCTCGGACCTTAATGACGCTTTGGACTTGACAATCCTCAGTTTTTTCTCGTACATACTTTATGTTGTTTCCGACATCGAGTTATCTTTGGACTTGGGCGGGTAGTGCTTCAAGTGTTTCAGCCCCAAACCGACTGAGGAAGCATATCTATTTCATGGCTCTAGTCCAGGAGGTGCGCTTGGCATCGGCGAGAATGGCTTTGACATGAGCCGTGTGGGGTCCAATGTGGGCACGATGTTTGGGGCGGGTGCCTACATGGCAGAGGCATGCAGCAAAAGCGACGAGTACGCAACCGAAGATCCTAGCGGCCTCTTTGCTGGCAAATTTGCCTTGCTACTATGTCGCACGCTCCTGGGCAATATGTTCTACATCACAGAGTCAAACATCCCAAGGATCGAAGATGCTCTGGCCACGGGGAAATTTCAGTGTGTTCTGGGCGATCGGGAAGCAGCCGTCGACACCTACAGAGAGTTTGTTGTTTTTGATGACGCGCAGATCTACCCGGAGTATGTAATCATATACACCCGTAGCTTTGCGTAGCAGCCTTCAGGCGTGACACGAGTCGCCCTGCACGAGGAGGACTCGAATCATATTTCTGGAGCAAATCCCGAAGGGAGGCTTGCAACAGATTTTCCCGAGATTTTCAAAGTCGGCTGCGAAAGAAACAAGTCACTGGGGTGAGCTTTGCCTGCTCCCGCTATTTTATCACCATGGTTGCCTCCGCTCTCGCTCGGCACTGCAAGGATCGGCTGTGTCAACGACCAGACGTGTGGGGCTGAGTTGAAGGAGCCGATAGGAGCCGCTTGAACGCACGACAGAGGGGGTTTTGGCCCTAAGCGAACTCGGCTCGGTACTCGGACTGATGAACTTACCTGAGCAGTTGCAATGACCTCGTTAGGTTTGCATCCCATTCCGTGGCCCGGAACTTCCCGAACGCTTATTGTTTGTTGTGCGAGCATCAGAGTCGAAGCTTTTGCCATTGCCATTGCTACATCGCACAAAGGCAAACCGCGCCGACGCGGCCACTAGGAGCACAAAATGAAGGGTTTTTGCAGACTCCATGGGGTCATCGCAGCCTGCTCCCATAAGATCTTTGGAGTCGTAGGGCAGATGTTGAGATGTTGGGTTGATCTAAGCCTACATCCGTTGTGGGGTTGCAAAGGGCAGTCTTGAAGCTCCGCCAGAATTGCGGCAGGCAAACTTGCCAGCAATATTCATGTTTCATCCCTACGCTGGCACGCTTCTTGGCGAGCTGGATGCAGCAGTGAGAGTGCAATGAGCTTTGTGCAGTAGTAACTCAGTAGTATAAGCACTAGTACTACGGACAGTGTAGCAAGACCCTCAATCTTTCGCAATAGCTAGTTACGAGTTTAACTTAATAAGAATGATACGGTGTTCATGAGTCTGTCCTGCCGCCCCGGAAACTCCTGAATGTCCCCAAAATACGCCAGAAAATACGACCCTAGCCACATGTGTTCGGGTTGTCCCATGCTTAGGTTTATTTCAACTCGATGGCCTTCTCCGACCAAAGCTGTACCAAGGCAAGCAGCAACTCGGAGAGGAGTTCTTTTGGGAGCATGCTGCTGGCGATGTGACCCTTGATCTTGCGTTGCCCTTGGCTTCAACGGTGAGGTCGTGCCTTGGCTGGTAGTGTAGGCTGAGTTGCTTTTCAATCGTATTGAAAGTTTTGAGCAGATTGAGTTTGAAGAGTCTAAGTTGAGGTACATGAAGAGTCCTGCCATTGAGTTTATCCGGAGTCTTCAGACGTCAATCCGTAGCAGACGAAATCCAAACCTAGCCTTCCAAATTCACGGAGTCAGATGGCAAACTCGCTTTCAGGTGCCATGGCCGATGCTTCCAAACAATTCCGGTGCTCGTGTTGCTGCGGCGAAAGGCTCCTTGCAACAATGCGGGTTTTACTGCAGGTTGGATGGTGTTTGGTTTTGTGCGTCGCAGATAGGTGAGGATCCCTTCAAGTCTTCAACGTGCAAAATAACCTTCGCTTGAGCTCACGAAGCGAACCCCGAAGTTCTCCCGTCGGGCTCACTTCCTCGGAAGGAATCTCCTGTAATTTCAGTACTTGTGGATTCGCTTTTTACATAGGTTTGGGGCTGGTTTTTGTTGTGTGGGTTTTGAATTCCAAGATCTTGGATGCCAAGCACATTCGCGCTCCCCAAAGGCTTGTACAGTATCAAGCAGAGTTGAGGCATGATTTGACCCCTGACCCTACAAGAGGCAGTGAACGTAGGATCATCGTGCGAGTATGCATGCCCAGGCCGTTCGCATGCACTGGTAGCATGGACGTTATCATCCTGCGGGAATGCGTGCCCGGGCCATTCGCACGCACTGGTGCATGGACATCATCATCCTGCGGGCATGCATGCTCTGGCCATTCGCACGCACGGGTAGCATGGACGTTATCATCGTGCGGGCATGCGTGCTCTGGCCATTCGCACGCACTAGTAGCGTGGACGTTATCATCCTGCGGGTATGCATGCTCTGGCCATTCGCATGCACTGGTAGCACGGACGTTATAACCCTGTATTGTTGTGACACAATTTGACATGCAAAAGACCCAAGAAAAAACACCTGAATGACTTTTTTTGCGTACGCAAAATCGTCGCCAACGCGGAGCGTGCTGGCAAACACTCGCTTGCAGTCACAAACGCGAACTGCCTATTATAACGGCACTCAAAAAACCCCTAGAAACTTCAAGCAGCGTTAGACCTCAAACCATCCAAAGCATGCGGCTACCCTCAACAATCACAATGATTCTGAACTAGGGGGGGTTGCGGGCAGTTGGGCTTTCCGGATTTGACCGGGGCTCAAGCAGCACTAACGCACCTGGCATAATGCTCTTCTTGAGAGGCCTGGTGGCCAGCGTGTCTTTGTCTTAGCATCCCCTTACATCTTCGACAGACCCCGTCCTTTCAGGTTCGGCTCGCTCTTGCACTTGGGCATACTTGGGCCATGTCGGGCCGCCGCCGCTTCTTCTGGGCCCGAGTGCGGTCGGCTGTGCAAGGCGCCAAAAGCGAGACCCTCACAGGGTCCCCCGCCTTCATGATGCGCCACGCCTACACAAACAACGCTGGTGATCGATGTGTTTTGGGTTTGGGGTCCTGGGGAGTGTACAGAAGTGTACCGAGGGGGGCGCCCTTGCTGCAGTTCTAGAGGACATCTACATTGCTCGACAGCAGCCACTTTGAGTTCGCCGCTTGCCGGAGGCGCAAACTTGAGGCGACAAGTTTGAAACTTTGCAGAGTCTGCTCCTAGTTGCCATGAGTGCCAGGCGCGCGCGCCCCGCGCCCCAACCTGGCCTCTGTGGGTCGTCACCTTCGCGGCTCCTGACGGCATCGACCACGAATCTGGTTGGGAGCCCCAGGCCCTGGTCAAGCTTCGTAGATTTGAGTTTGTTTCAGTACCAAGATCTGCGCTCGCGGATTGTTGCATGGTGTTTCATGGACACTTAATGGGACCTCTTGATCGTTTGCCAGTTGTCGAGTTGTTTTGAGACTGCGGGTCGGCTCAAAATTCAAGCCGCGAGTGGGTCAAAGTGACCTACTTTGAGTAGAGCATCGAACTGGGAGCACAGTGCGACACAGTGCGACACAGTGCGCAGCAGGAGCGTCGGCAACAGCAGCGACGGCATGGAAGGAGGCCAGCAAGAGCAGCTGAGTGCCCTCACGCTTTGCAGCGCACTTGGAGGCGTCCTCGGTATAGCCGCGGTCATCTTCGGAGCGCTGGTCCAGTGGGCAGGTGTCATGCCGGACCTGGAAGAATACGGGCGCTATGTCCTCATGGGGGGTGTGGTTCTTTATCTGGTACATCTCCTTGAAGCGCTATGCAAGCAAGACCTCCAAGTACCTCTCTTGGATCTTGAGTGAAACCGAGTTCGCTTCGTATGTGAAAGAGTTGCAATCGGCTAAGCCCGAAATCACGTGGACGATCCAAAACTACCACTACGAAGAGAGACGGACGAGAGACAAGGATGGCAAGGAACAGGTCGAAAGGAAGAGGGTGAACACCCATCGCGCTCAGGCACACTATGACATCCAGGGCTTCTCGGATGAAACTCTTTCACCTGAACAAATGCTGGCCATGTTCCACTTGATGTATGATGGCGAACATGAGGACTTGGAGGCAAACAAAAAGAAGTCGAGGAGAATCTTCTTGCTTTGCGAGATGCCTCTCGTGTTCCATCCGATCGACGACCATGAGGAACAGCGCCTCTTTGGTTTGAGAGAGACGTTCTTCAGAGAGAACACACGTGACACTTACCAAGACAAGAAATCGGAGCACCGCATCAGCTGTTACCACAAGGACCACGTCATGGTGATTCTCAAAGAAGGTACCGATGACAGCCGTGCGCGCCCATGGTGGATGAGCTATTGGTTCTATGCCATTTGCACGGTTTTTCTGATGAGTGTGCCGTTCAGGGTCTTCTTCTTTTCGCAGTGCGCCAAAACCAGTTGGGAGGTGCTGAAGCATTTCTCTCACAAGCATGAGGAACACTGGACAGAACATCCAAAGCACAGCCGTGCAAAACGCACAGATGCTGCATCGAAGGCATTTCAAAAAGTCAAACGTGAAACGCCTGCGCGAACGTTCTCAGGGAACCGACCTGAGGGACCCCCAAATCCAAATTCGGAAGATGTCGGACCACCTGTCACAGTGCCTGTGGGAGTTCCATCATACTGGAAGAATCGAGATTTGGACAAGGACTTCGATGAGAAGATCAACTTGTCGCCTGATGAGCGGGAGAAGATGCAGCAGCTGTTGGATGTGACCTTCAAGAACAGAGCCACCAGAGATCGAAAGAGCGATGGCATGCCAACCAGGCTGATTGCGACCCAAGTGATTCGCATGGAGGACAGCAAGATGTGGCGGCGATTTGAGCAGAAGCGTGCGGAGCTGGCAGTCAAAGGACAGCTTGCGATGGGCCCCACAATGTGTGAGCCGTGTGCAGCAGATACGGATACATGCATTTAATGCAAAGTATGAAGTGCATGTACATATATAATATAATATAATATACTATAATGAAATATAGTTCAACATTCATACATACATACATTACATTACATTACATTACATTACATTACATTACATTACATTACATTACATTACATTACATTACATTACATTACATTACATTACATTACATTACTTACATACATACATACATAAAACACACACACGGAGATATCCATACACAAATGAGTACACAGTGAGTGGACGCTATTCATACGTAGTAAAACTAGTATGCAGGATATGCACCGTAGTGATAAAGTTTATAACATGAAAACATGCATGTATGTATGTATTTGCATATGGAGTAGGATTCTTTCACTTAGTTGATTGAATTCAATGTTGGTTACGCCTATGCTCGCCCCCCCCCTTGATCCACACATTTGGCCTGACATACATGCATACATGCATACATGCATGCACCGTGGTTTCAAGCTCGGCCCGAAAGATTCGTTTCTGTAGACATGCCAGGACGGCCCAAGCTGATGCAGGAGATGCCCGGAAGTGGACCTTTCAAGACCTCACCAAATGATGAGACGTCACTGCCATCCTGCCTTCAGGAGGTGACTTCGGATCTTAATGACGCTTTGGACTTGACAATCCTCAGTTTTTTCTCGTACATACTTTATGTTGTTTCCGACATCGAGTTATGTTTGGACTTGGGCGGCTAGTGCTTCAAGTGTTTCAGCCCCAAACCGACTGAGGAAGCATATCTATTTCATGGCTCTTGTCCAGGAGGTGCGCTTGGCATCGGCGAGAATGGCTTTGACATGAGCCGTGTGGGGTCCAATGTGGGCACGATGTTTGGGGCGGGTGCCTACATGGCAGAGGCATGCAGCAAAAGCGACGAGTACGCAACCGAAGATCCTAGCGGCCTCTTTGCTGGCAAATTTGCCTTGCTACTATGTCGCACGCTCCTGGGCAATATGTTCTACATCACAGAGTCAAACATCCCAAGGATCGAAGATGCTCTGGCCACGGGGAAATTTCAGTGTGTTCTGGGCGATCGGGAAGCAGCCGTCGACACCTACAGAGAGTTTGTTGTTTTTGATGACGCGCAGATCTACCCGGAGTATGTAATCATATACACCCGTAGTTTTGCAGAAGGGCCTGCCACATATGCAATCTAAATCTGATGCTCTATTGAGGTTAGGGTTTCGTAGTCCTCATTCCACCCGGTATCCTTTACAATCTTGGGTCGAGTTGGCGATGAGTCTTGTTCGAGTTAGGGTGTAGTTCTCGTGGCAGTCTTTCTAGCTTGCGCAGCAGCCTTTACGCACGATACGAGTCGCCCCTGCAGCGGAGGACTCGTATCGAATTGCTGGAGCATGTCCCGAAGGGAGGCTTGCAACAGATTCTTCTGAGATTTTCGAGGTCGGTTGCGAAAAAAGTCACTGGGTTGAGTCTTGCCTGCTCTTGTTGTTTCTGCAGCGGGGTTGCCTCCAATTTGGTTTGACACTGCTTCCGAGGATCGGCCCTGTCAATGAGCTGACGGGCGGGAAGGCGGGAAGGCCTCTCTGCATTGACACAGCTGTGTGTGTTTTTGGTTGTGGTCGGGGAAGGTCGGGAAGGGGGGGAAGGAGAGCAGATCTTGGTTTGCTTGTTTGGGACTCTTCTTGCCTGGAGGCGAATGCTGCATTGTCCAGCGGACGTACACGCAGCAGTACTGCAAGCCGTCGGTGAACTACAACGACAACGGTTCTGTCAGCCGTACTCCGGCTGAGTTGAAGGAGCCGCTTGAACGCACGACAGGGGATGTGTGCCCTAGGCCCCAGCTCGTACTGTTGAACTATCCGGAGTTGCTGCAGTGGCCTCTCGAAAGGTTCGCATCCCATTTCCGTGGCCCGGAATCCCTGAACGCTCAAATTGTCTGTGCGAGTGTCAGAGTTAGAGTCGAAGCTTGCACACCATTGCTACATCCCACAAAGGCAAGCGGCACCGACACGGCCGGAACTGAGGCACAAGGAACAGAAAAGGGGGTTGTTGCATACTTCGCGGGGCCATCGCAGCCGGAGCTTTAGGGAGCGAATTTAACTTGTTCTGGTTTAGGAAAAGGGGTGGGAGTATTATAGGTCCACATCACGCCAACGAAGTTCGCTTAGCCCCTACGTGAAGCTGCCACCGTTGCACGGCCACTGTGGTTGGTCCCTTCGTGCTTGGAGACATTCTGTCTGGATTTTTGGGCAGTAGTTGTGCAGTTCACAGGAATTTCTGGCGACGCAGGCATGAACGCGCAGCCGCATCCTTCCACGTATCAGCTCCAGAGCCGCAACCTTGGATCTAGCGCACCGTAAATTCTCAACCAATCGGAAGGCCCAACGTTGAATAAAAAAGTATAAAGCCCAAGCCTCTCGGGGTGCCATGGCCGATGCTTCCAAAGAAGCCCGGTGCTCGTGTTGCCGCGGCGAGAGGCTCCTCGCAACAATGCCGGTTTGACTGCGCTTTGGATGGTGTTATTCGTTTTGTGCGTCTCAGATGGGTCATAGTAGACCCGATAGGTGAGAGTGAGCCCCAAGCCCTAAACTTTGAAGGCGCAGCTCTAGGTCTCCAACGTGCAAATGGCAAAGACGAGGAAGCCAAGCAGACCCCAAAGTTATCCACAAACACGACATTGCACTTGCATGGCCAAAGCGAGGAAGCATCGAGAACAGCATCGCGATCCGCTCAAGAAAGACCACCTCACTCGGCCCCAAGAAACTTCAAGCAGCGGTAGAGCCAAAACCATCCAAACCATGCAGCAACCCTCAGCAATCACGATTCTCGAGGAGTTAGTTATCTCTGCATTTCTTGTTCTGAAGGGGGTTGATGGCAGCTGGGCTTTCCGGATTTGACCGGGGCTCGAGCAGTGCTGAAGCACCTGGTATTTTGCCCCTTCTTGGAAGACCATGTGGTCAGCGTGTCTTTGCCTTTGCATCCTCTTAGATCTTCGAGAGAGACCATGCCGTTCTTTCAGGTTCGGCTCGCTCGTGCACTTGGCAGTGGCAGGGCTGTGCTGGTCCCGCGCTTGGCATCTTCGCAAACTCGCCGCTCAAACCCTGCGCCTGCTGTAATATCCCATGCTGAAGACCAGCTCGATTCAGGGGAGGCCTTTGGACGTAAGTCATCCTCAGAGAATTTCGGGTGTAGGTGTAGGAAACCTTTCGGCTGGAGACTTTGCAACCTCCCAAGCTGGGGACTCGGCAGGTTCGCTAACTTCTACATCGCTGCGATGGCGGTACTTCTGTGGCCGACGCCTGGGCATTTTTTTTTGGGTTTTCGTAGGTACAGGTATGCATGAGGTTGGCATGTGCGGGCATGCGCTTCTTCACTTCGCGACTGTGAGACGGCCCAGAGTCGAGGTTAGGCCACATGCTACAAAGGCTTGCAAAAAAATGTGGAAGGCTTGATGCAGGTTCGGGGTGGGCCTGGGGAAATGTGCCTCGCGCCCAAGCCTTGAGTCCCAGAGCGTTTCAATGGGTCAAGGTACAAGACGCAGGTGTTCAGATACTCCCCTGACTCCATCGCAGAGGAGGCCTGGCTTGATGTTGATCGGGTTGATCGGCTCCTTCCAGCTTTTCAAGCTACTCCCGCAGGTGTCTTGCGATGTAGATGTCCGGATGTGGTTCCGAGCGTGAACCCGTGATTCGAGAACCGAACACATTTTAGCAACAGGGTCATGACATGTGGGCTTGCCGCTCTTGCCAGCCTTCGTGTCCTTGCCCGCAGCTGCTTTGGTCCCTTTAGAAGGCCATGCGCATGACAAGCCGAGCCAGCTCCAAGTCCAACCCAGCTCCCAGCCCAAACCCCGCACTCAACAGCCAGCAAGACCACGCGAAACCCAGCACGCAACACAAACTGCAGGGAAGTCCCTAGCCACAATCGGCACCACCGGAAGATGATCCGCTGCTGCGCTCCGGAAGAGGGACCCGTACTGACAGATGCAGGTGCAGAGAAGCGGCCGGTGTTCAACAGTTGTCCCACGCTTTCACTGAAAGTGCTCCATGGTGCTTGTTCTATTGTTTTGTTGCTTTCCGGCTTGGAAGCAGTGAGACTCTGAGAAGCAGCCGTGAGGCCAGACAGGAGGCCTCTTTTGTTTGGAGAAGGAGCCCCATTTCCAACTGCAGGTGCGCAGTCCCTGCTCACAGACAAGCACGAGAAGTCCGAGGTTTTCGTCCCCCACGTCGCGTTGGAAGGATGCAGTTCACGGACGTGAAGATGCACATGGCAATGAGAAGTCAATCTACATGCGGTGTTATGCCAGTTCATATGAAGGAACACCGTACAATATCACAATATCAAATAGTATAGCATCATCTAGTACATAGAGATCGGGTAAGGACTCTCTGAACCAGAAAGAAGCCCCCAGGAAAAGCAACAGGGTTGGCACCGTGAGAGATTTCACAATGCTGCGTTTGGCCCAAAAAATGCCTCGGGAGGAGAAGTTCCGCAACAAGTTGCAACACCTTTGAACAACAACCAAAACGACCTGCTGAAGGACACGTCTCTGACGTTTGAGAGCTTCGGGGCTGGGAGCCCTCCTTGCGTTTTGGGTTGTCAGTGATTCAGTGCCCACTGCCCGCCCTGGTTCTATTGACAATGTGGATCCCATGGACTGCATCATGGGTGTCAAGAGGAAATGGCGGTTCACCAGCTCCAAGCTTTGTCTTGTCGCCCCCCCGAATTGTAAGGACTTTTGAGTTGCGAGTACGTGCCTTGGGCATGTTTGGGGTTCGGGGCGAGTTTGGGTTAGAATGCACGCCTGCCCAAACCTTAGAAAATTCCTGCCACAACCGAAATCGCAACCTCCTGACCCAGAATGAGCCGGCCCGACTTGCTCTAAACCCTATGAACCCTATAAACCTTTTAAACCCTATCAACCCTATGACCCCTATAAACCCCATAAACCCTTAAACCCCTATAATCCCTATAAACCCTACAAACCCTAAAGAAAGGAGAAGCGATCTGACCTGGCCTTGGAGTCTCGGCTCGCATGGGTGTGCACGTTGCTTTGCAGCTTTCGGGCTTGGTGGCACGCCGAGGGGTGTTCTAAGAGGGGTTGGGGTGAAGGGCTTTGGGGTTCAGAGAGGGGGTCAGAGGGGTTAACAAGGGAATTAAGAGGTTCAGGAGGGTGAGCAGGGTTCAGAGGGTTAGGGGTTAAGGGTGAAGGGGTATGATTCGAGTGGCGGAGGTTCATTTGATTTGGGAGTAGCGGGTCGAAAGGCCTTGCCAATCCCTCCAGCATCTAGGTGGGTTTTGGGGTCGACTGGCTAGGACGCCCAATCCCTAAGCACCAAAACGATATCTGGGCATTGCGCATTCTATGGTCGATGTCAGAATTCTCCCGAACTCCACGGAGGGTTCGATGAAGCCCAATTACACACTGACACCTCAACCCCAAGCCTAAAGCCCATCCCAGTGTTGACTGGGCCGAGGGGGGTGAGGATGCCAAGTTCGTCCACCAGGCTGGTGTGACTGCGGCCTTGACATGGCTGAAGTGCCGCATGGAGCCTTCATCCCCAAAGCCACAGAACCTTTCGGACGCTTAAGGTAGCTTAAACGCACGTCTAGACTCCCCCTCTAGACGGACGTAAGGTGTCTCAAGCACTGAGCCCAGAGAGCCAGCCCAGAGAGCCGCCAGGCACTGACGGGCTCTCAGCAGCGGCAGCTGGACAGACACGAGCTGGAGGTGGCAGCACGAATCGAGAAGAGGCAGCTTGGTCTTATTCATTTTCTTGGGGTTTAGGGTTTAGGGCTTAGGGTTTAGGTTTACTGTATATTCTTTTTTTAATTTTTTTTTGGGGGTGGGGGGGGGGGTGGGGGCGGGCCTTTCCGATTTGATGCAGGGTGAGTTTAACCGTATTGGGGGGTTGAGGATTCAGGGCCCCTTCCAGCCAAGCCCCAGGTTTGTTCTGGCCTTTGAAGTTTTCAGACTCCAGGAACCCGTAAGGATCTTAAGGTAAGGATCTCAAGGGTCTTGGGGAGGGTGCAGGTTGGGGCCTTTGGGCTGGCAAGTCGCAGGAACGCCGTGGAAGGCGGCGGTGCAGGACACGGCCGCCCGGCTGCGTGTGGCTCCATGCGGATCATGTGTAGCATGTTGGCCATCCTCACGGCTAGTTCTCACGGGTAGCTGTGTTGTGTTTGCGTGGCGGGGCTCCGGGCATTGGTTGCCGAGCATTCAATCATGGCGGGCTGAGCTACTAACTGCCTATGTGGATGGGTTTCCTGCCATGTTGTCTTTAAGCTGCGTCATGCAGGTGAGCTGCCGCTTTTGTTCAGGTGACCTTGCTAGTGGTTTCGAGGAAGGCTGATAGTAAACAGCTTTGAAAAGCTTGACATCTTCATGGTTGGAGTGCTGTTGGCACAACCGGCCAACACCGAAACCCTGAATCCCAATCAACGTTCCAACCCTGAAACGTAAACATGCGCAGAAATGGCGCTTGCTGTGTCGAGGCCACGGGAAGCCGGTTTTCTGGCTCACGGCCGTGATCTCCTCGCTGATCAACTTCCTATTGCCTCCTGCTTCCTCTCATGGGCTAGAAGGTGTGAAGTTGCGAAGGAAAGGAGGGAGGGGGCTTTAACGTGGATGGTTTACTTGCACCTTGAAGATGGTTCCTTTATGCTTTCAACTCTGCAGTATTCTGCAGGGACTGCTTGAAGGGTACGATTTGTTTTCTGTCGGGCCGTCCTTTGATCCAAAAGGTTTTCAGCTTCAGACTTGTCCCCTTCTTTCGAACTTGCTCGGGAGTTTGCTCGAGGTGCGGGACATTGTCAGGGTTTACGGTGGTGGTGAGGCCTGTTGCCCCGATCTTCCTCGAGGTTCCCGACTTGTGGCCCGCGTGTTTCTCACGCTGCTTTTGATCGAAGGGTCTCGGTGGCCCCCGAAATTTGAAAGTCTCATAGACACCCGCATCATCCCGAGGATGTTCGGCCTCTGCTGCGCTTATGGGATGATCATGTTCAGCGACGACTTCCACAAGCAGCACGGCGCCCTAGGACAGCTCTTTCTTCCCACAAGCCCCTACGTTGTGACATCCTCAGCCACTCGTGACGAGATACGGGCACAGTGTATTTTTCCCGTTATTCTTCGGTTTTATTCGGTAGGGAACTTTCTCGGCTCATCCTCTGGGGGCAGGAGTCAAGATGAACCTGAGCACCGCGCTCATCATGGGCCTCCTCGTGGCTTGCTGTTCCAAGGCCCCGCTGAGCGCCAGGTCGTGTCGGGTGGGGACATTCGTTCCAAACGTCTGGAGCCAGTCCGGCTGTACTTGTAAGCGCAGGTCAACGTCGCCATCGGCGGGCCGGACCTGCGACTTGGCTCCGTGTCAGACAGCTGCAGGGAAGCCCCAAACAGGGCCTTGATGCCTCGGGTCGAGGATGCTTGGAGCTGCTTGGTGTTTTTTTGGTAGAAGCTTCCCCGACCATCAGCCCTATGATAACAGCCCTTGACTACAAACCGTAAGTCCTTTTTCATACCCCTCCGAGGAAGGGTCCGCGGTTTACGGAAGCTGCCCCCTCACAAAACCCCCATCAAAGCCCGAGAGCTCCTTGAGCTGCCAGGAACCCCGTGGTCTTCTTCGCGACCTTTGTGCAGAAGATCGGGCAGAGCCTCGCCACGCAGCTGGAGCTCGACTACCCCGCAGGCCACTTGGGGATCCGTTTTGGGGTCTGCTTCCTGCGTTCCTAAATTCCCTGATTCCCTGTTCTTCAAGAACCAGTAAGAAAGCCCGAAAGTTGCAGGCACCACTTCCCGGCGTCTTTGGGAAACGGACAATGCCCGCGACTTCGTCCGGCAGCTGGCTGGGGACAGTTACAGCGTGTCCCGGTGCAAGTCAGTTTTGGGCTCAAATTTTTCAACCCTGAATCCCCCCGCCTCCCAACCCTAATTAGCGGGTCCTGGGGCTTTGGAGCCTGGCTACCGTGGACTAAGACGGTGGAGTTTTGCACGGGCACTCACCTGGTCGACCACTTGTCGGCCTGCGAGGAATACCACGCACAGCCACCAGACTACAGCATGGAGAGTCTCATTGCTGAGTTCAGGGTAAAGGCGGTGCTGCAGAGAGAGCAGTTTTCCAGTTGATTCTTCAAGCTGTTGTTCGAACAGTTTTCCAGTAGATTCTTCAAGCAGTTGTTCGCCCACTCGGATGCGTCGCCCACTCGGATGTGCCGCCCTGATCATTTGACCGGTTGCCACTTTGGGGTAAAGTGCCTGGCTTCGGAGCTGAACCTTAAGCGTCCCTCTTTGCCCGGAGTACCCTAAACCGTAACGCCCCGTGAGCCCAGCGTTTTCGTGATTTTCAACCCAACCTTCTCCAGGCTCCGGGCCACCGTCCTTTTCTCAGCTTTTGCTTCCTCGGCGATCTTTGCCGCCATCTTCCTCCTCCTGGGGAAGGCTGGGGGGCTCAGACAGGACCCTGAGCAAACTTGCCTCACCCGGGCATATCGGGCATTCTATGAAATGTGCAATGTGCTTTGCCTGCGGCACATCTCGAGAGTATCAGAGCATGTCGCCGCAACTGCCCTGTTCACCGTTAGCTGAAGAGCCTGTGAGGCCTTAGGGGCCTTAGGGGCCTTAGGGAGGGCTAAACACCCTCGTGAGGCACAGCTCACGAAATACGTGTCTTACGTGCCAACCTCGGTGCAGGAGGCTGGGCCTCTCTGCATCTTGCCTGGCGGTTTGACGTCTTCGAAGGGGTCCTACTGTAAGGGGGGGTGCAAGCTAGGGGTCTAGGGGTCCGGGGTTTAGGCCCCAAAATCGTCAGCCTGCCTAAGCCTGTTGTGTTGGCTTTGTTGACCAGAACCAGTTCCGTGCGTCGTTCAGGGGCTGAGATCGACTGGGGTCCCATTACAGGAAACCTTCATCGTGCATTTCTTGGCCAGAAGCCCCAGAAGCCCGGAAACTCCCGAACCTCACTTGTGTGCGGCTCCGTGAGGCCTTCCTGTCCTGCATTGGCTACAAAGTCTTCAAGACCCTTGGCTAAGAGTAGGGGTTCTAACCATGAAAAAAACGTTTTTACAATGACAAGCGTTTCCTTTAACAATGATAGTGGTTTAGGGTTGGCACGATAGTGGATAGTGAGGCCCAAGAGGGTTGGCGCTAAGAGTAGGGGTTCTAACCATGAAAAAAACGTTTTTACAATGACAAGCGTTTCCTTTAACAATGATAGTGGTTTAGGGTTGGCACGATAGTGGATAGTGAGGCCCAAGAGGGTTGGCACGATAGTGGATAGTGAGGCCCAAGAGGGTTGGCACGATAGTGGATAGTGAGGCCCAAGAGGGTTGGCACGATAGTGGATAGTGAGGCCCAAGAGGGTTGGCACGATAGTGGATAGTGAGGCCCAAGAGGGTTGGCACGATAGTGGATAGTGAGGCCCAAGGATAGTGAGGCCCAAGAGCTTCCCCAGGGTTTAGTTTAGGGTTGGCACGATAGTGGATAGTGAGGCCCAAGAGCTTCTCCAGGGTTTAGGGTCTGGTTTGAAGAAGCTGCCATTCTGGGCGTTTTATGCTTTGTGGCTCTCGGTCGTACGCCTGGGTGCGGCAGCCGCCTGGCCAGGCGGCTCAATATTTTGCGATTTCAGTCAGTCCTGAGTCACATTGGCAGTCACACCATGCTCATGTGGCAGTCATGAGCCATGACCAGTCAGTCCTGTGACGGCTCGATGTTCGCAGAATTGTGAGCTTGTTTTGCTGCCTGAGCTGACAAATACCAAGTTGACATTGCTCAATTCCAAACCATCAGAACTTGAAGCAGTGACACACTGTCAATGTCACGCCATCACTCAAAACTTTTCCACTGAGCTGGGTCAGACTTTGTGTTAGCGCAACTGCGAATCTATGCTGTTGTCATGGTTGCCCTATCTTTGGGCCGCGCTTTCGTTTTGCTGCTGTCGGTGTGGTGTGTGCGGCTGCCGGTGCCTGTTGAGTCCACAGACCCCAGAACGACTTCTGGCGCTGCCTATGCCCTGCCAAGTCTGGGCCGCCGAGCAAGGCGTCTCCTCACGAGACACCTGAACTCTGTGTGGGGCCCGGAAAATCCCGGGGCTTGCGCCTGTGCTGCATCTGGTGTACGGCGTGCTGCGGCTCGCAGAAAGCCCCGGCATCGTTCCTGGTGCCTTTTTTGTCGGCAAATTTTGAATCGCCTTTGCGGGTATGCTGGGGTCAGGATCGGCGAGGCCAAACGTCCAGGTCCAGGAGCTGGCGATTCTTCTGCGAATGTTTCAGACTCACCGCCTAAGCGTACACGTCGGCAGCTTCAGTACGTCAAGTACGATGCGGTCAATTTCGATGGTGACAGCCTTGCACTTCATGAATCGTGCGCTCGGGTCTTGCGGAGTGCTGCAAGAAAATGGGCCGAGACCAGAAGTTTCGTCATTGGAACCTTCAGCAACCCCGCCATTACTCCAACAGATGAGTGGCAATGCAGCTGCTTGTGTCATGCGCATGAAACGTGCCACGCGTCCCAGGGCACATGCTACAGATTCTCTGGCATTCTGGATGGCTCTGTATATCGTCTCCGCGTTGAGAAGGCTGGACAGTGCGGAGAAACACCGCGCAAGAATCGGGCCGCCGCTACCAAGCTCTACAAGGACGACCAGCCAACAGCAGCCGAGAGGCTGCGTGTTCTGCAGGCGAGGAAGGAACTGTTGTCAACCCTCCGCAAGGCCACTCCTGGCGCAGTAGTGAAGCGTTTGGAGGCAAGGAATGTTTCTGTGGCTGCTGTGAGGGTCAAGGCCATTCTTCGTGCGGCAAAGAAGGACCCAGACAAGCTGGGCTTTGTTGAAAGCCAGGAATCCTTCGAGGAGTTCATCGAGACGATCCCTGATATGTCTTTTGTCCACGTACAGAAGGAGCCATTCCAGTGGGTGTGTACACTCCCAGCCTTTATGGATTCATTGCAAGAGCTGGCGTGCAGTGCATCACCGTCCCCGTCAGGCGGAAAGATATTCATCACGGCTGACTTTACCTTTCGCCTGGCCGTGATGGGCTATTCATATGGCATCGTCAGCACTTTGTTGGCAGTAGTCCTGATTATTTGCTCAGCTTTCTGTTTGGTTTGTTTAAAGAAAACATCGCAAATATGTGGCTTCTCGCTCACCACTGAGGCGTCCGTGTCTTCCGCCGCCTCAAGTCCACCTACGCTGTATCTGCCTGGCCGTTGGTCCTCGCCTGCTCTCCAACGGAGGATACTACGATCTACCTTCACATGTTCCGAGCGCTTCGCGCGGCCCTGGAGGAACGTTCGCTTCCACAGCCGGCACAGCTACACCTCGAGGCTTGCTTGCGTTCAGGCATCTGCAGGTTCTTTCACATGCAGAATTAAGTGAGCCTTGCAATTTAACATCTTTCCTCATGCTGTGTGGCGCGGGCAGTGACAGAAAGACCTGGTTTTGGGAGCTTTGGGAGGCCCAAAAGCTCCGTTTTCAGGCCTTTTTGTCACTGGCCGTGCACGCGCAGGGGGGGGGGGGCGCGCGCGGGCAGTGACAGAAAGACCTGGTTTTGGGAGCTTTGGGAGGCCCAAAAGCTCCGTTTTCAAGCCTTTTTGTCACTGGCCGTGCGCGCGCACGGGGGGGGGGGGGGCGCGCACACGGGCAGTGACAGAAAGAGCTGGTTTTGGGAGCTTTGGGAGGCCCAAAAGCTCCGTTTTCAGGCCTTTTTGTCACTGGCCGTGTGCACGCGGGCGGGGGGGGCGACGGGCAGTGACAGAAAGAGCTGGTTTTGGGAGCTTTGGGAGGCCCAAAAGCTCCGTTTTCAAGCCTTTTGTCACTGGCCGTGTGCACGCGGGCGGGGGGGGCGACGGGCAGTGACAGAAAGAGCTGGTTTTGGGAGCTTTGGGAGGCCCAAAAGGTCCGTTTTCAGGCTTTTTGTCATGCGGGGGGGGGGGGGGGGGCGGCGCGCGCGGGCAGTGACAGAAAGAGCTGGTTTTGGGAGCTTTGGGAGGCCCAAAAGCTCCGTTCTCATGCCTTGTTGTCACTGGCCGTGCGCGCACACGCGGGGGGGGGGGGGGGGGCGCGCGCGCGCAGTGACAGAAAGAGAGCTGGTTTTGGGAGCTTTGAGAGGCCCAAAAGCTCCGTTTTCAGTCCTTTTTGTCATTGGCCGTGCGCGCGCGCACGGGGGGAGGGGGGGGGCGCACAGGCAGTGACAGAAAGAGCTGGTTTTGGGAGCTTGGGAGGCCCAAAACCTCCATTCTGAGGCCTTTTTGTCATTGCAGTGCGCGTGTGGGGTGGGGGGGAGGACAGTGAAGTGACCTTTCCTCCCTCCCTTGACATTTCCACTTCAGCTGAGGATTGGTCAGACCAATCCAGAGGAGCGGCGGCTGAAGTCTTTCCTGGTGTGCCCCTTCGTCGAGGGATCGAACATCTCAAGCGCAACTTGCGCAACAATCAATCGCAAGGCAAGCGAGGTCCCAGAAAGTCAAAGGCCAAGGTTTCTGCGGCGGGTAAGGAAGGCCAAACCGAAGGCCACAGCAAAGGCGAAGGCGCTGCCACGACCGGCGCCTCATTTGAAATCGAGGAGCATATGGGCAGCGATCAATGTGATCACAGAGATCATGTACATGCCCACGCAGGCGATGATGCATATCGCTTTAGATTGCTTTCTGGACTGGGTACGTCTGCAGTGGGGGGAGCAGCTATGGCACGATTACTTTGTTCGTGAGTATGTCGACAAGTGCCACGTGGACAGCCGAGCGTTCGGTCGGCAGGAGCTGTTTTTGCCACATTGGTGGTCTGGCGCCGGCACCTGCCGACATTGGGATCAGCCGGGGCACCCTGCCTCTCAACAGGCAGCAGAGCAGCAGAACTCGAAGTTTAAGAAGGATGTCCGCGAGCATGCTCCGGAGGGCGGCCTGACCACACACCAAGCTGTGGTGAGCAGCATACAAGGCTGCTTGCGCACGTGGCTTCGTCCCCTCAAGGCTGTGGACGCCAGCACACTTTCCCCAATTAGCTTGATGGCCCCCCCTGGAGGATTGCAGCTGTCTGCCCCGGATCGCCCGGATGCTTGGATGCTTGCCACGGGGCGTGTCATACGCAAGCCGTGCAGCAACAAACTCACCTATTTTCCGCCCATCAACGTGACTCTCAAGAAAATGCGAAGTTGCCGACGGTCTTTTCCTTATGAGCAAAAGACAATCAAGGATGCTGTGCGCCTCGGTGGCAGGTGTGAGCCGCGAGTTGAATTGTGTTTGACGCTGATTTCCGTTCATGCCAACACTGCCTGCCTCAGGTACTTGTGCCTTCCGGTTGGTGCGCCGCGCAAGGTGCCGCCAGGGACTCTTGCAAGGATGCTTGCCTTGCTCCGCACATTCAACATTGACAAGCTGAAAGAAATCTTTCTCCGTGAGGGGTTCCTCACGCAGGAGGGAGAGTTGTTGAAGCTCCTCGGCATTTCTTCTTTCCCAAGCAGTGTGTAAGGCCAATAAGGGGTTCATTTGACAACCATAAGCCATAAGCCCCCGGTGCCTCCCCAAAGACAATCTAGCTGTTCAGGTTCCAGCGGCAATCGTATGCACAATTGTTTAACCAGTTCTGCTTGACATGGATGTCGGGACAGAAAAAATTCAGGTGTTCTTGTTGGCTCTGGACGTGGAGAGGGCACTGTCCTCACATTTACATAGCCCAGGATTTCCTTGAACACCGCTCCTGGGTTGCAAGCCCAATAGCGGTCGTGCCTCCATCGGGAGGGAACCAGGAGGCGCCTGGAAGTGAAGATGAAGACAACCCTCGAGGTTCCAAGCGCATACGCCGATGAAGGCTCTAGAGCGACGCGCTTCGTGGAGTGAACTGCGTGATTGAAACACGGGCTTCATGTTGCGACTGCTGTGCCCTTCTGATTTACAGCTTTGCCGCTTTTGATTGACTGCAGGCGGCACGGCAAGTGCCGAACATGGTGCGTAGGGGGCGAGCTGACTTCAATTCGCCTGTTGTCTTCGGTGCTGACGAGGCCAGCGCCTCATGTGCTCTTGGGAGT